GAGGAGGAGAAGAAGAAGAAGAAGAAGAAGAAGAAGAAGAAGAAGAAGAAGAAGAAGAAGAAGAAGAAGAAGAAGAAGAAATAAAAAGAAGACCCCACTAGATGTCAGAAGTGAGGGGCATCTGCTGACCGTCTAACAGACCTGCTGAGGAGCTCCTTGTGGTTACGTGCCGCTGAGTCAGAACTGACCCATAGCTCTTCCTCCAGCGGGTATTCATATCACACAGGAGATGGCCCATCTTTCTCCTGCAAAGTAGGTGGATTTGAACCACACCTACTCTTGGGTGGGCAGCACAACTCCTTACCTATTAGGTGTTCACCAAAAGATTATGGGAAGAAGAAAAGAGAGTAGCCCCCACAATCTTCTGAGCCTGATGAAGCTGGTGGTTAGACTACTATCATGATTTTTTGGTTTTTACCTTCACTGCTAGCCCATTGAGATCCGCCACCACTGAGCCTCCAGAGACATTTGCATTGGGGACGGTTTCCGTGCTTGTTCCGCGGAGGTGAACGTTTGACATTGGCATCTTTAGTTCACGGCTGGCCACCTGGGTTGTAGAGAGAGTTTCTTCTCAGTGGCAGAACTTTGGTGCGTCATGGACCCCTCACACATGCCCAGCACATGTGAGAAGCCCGCCTGTGCACAAATGGGACCAGGGGCGGAAGCATGAATTTCTCTTTGCAAACAACCCCCAAAGTTCCTCTTTTCTTAAAACTCCGCAGTCAGCCCAGACCCTGAGTACGTACACATTTTCATTTATTTTTCTCTCGTGCAATAGCTTCAGGAGCAGGTGAGGCCCCAGAATCAGGCAGGAGAACACCTTAAGTCTTTATAATCATGAACCAATCTTTATAATAATATAATCAATACCAGTGAGACTTCCACTAGACCACGCTCTGGGAGACTTGAGCAAAATTGCATTTCTTACGGCTTGAAAGAGCAGCACTTCCTGGGAGAAAGACAGCACCTTGCTTTTCTCAGAATAAAGACAGGCAGCATTTTGTATTTCTTAGAAAAGCAGCAGCAGCATGATGAGATCATGGAGTGAGGGTGTTGGTACCAGCGTCTCATGCTGATACAGCGACTGTCTCAAATATCAGCAAATATTCAACGACAACAACTACTCAAAGTCAATGCGATTGAGTAGATTTTGACTCAGCAACACTCACTGCAGCTCTCAGAGCTGTAAATCTTCCCGGGAGGAGACTGCCCGCCCATCCTTCTCCCAGGGAGCCACTGCCAGACATGTTTGGTCAGTAGTACAACACACTGTGGACTAACCTTAAAGCGTACTTTAAAAAAACCCAACCTCAAAACAAAACGAAAACCCCAAATGGACATACAACAAAACTCATCGCTATTGAGTTGGAACCAGCTAATAGTTGACCCTCCAGAAGGTTTTCAGAAATTGTAAATCACACAGAAGGTTATCCATCTTTCTCCCTCTGAGCAGCTGATGGTTTTGAACCACAAGCCTTTGGGTTGGTGGTGTAAGTACTCAGTGGGCCCCCAGAGTGTTAGTTTTTCTTTCTAATGGTGGGGAGCAACGAGCTAACGTGAATTAGAGAGTCATAGTACTAACTTGTGATTCTCCTCTCCCTCCTAGAAATATGCCTTCAAGGATTTGCTTACAAGTCAACAAGGACACCAAGCACACAAAGTCCTTCCTCAGCACTTTGCTTCCAGGTCAGCTACACAAGGAGTGCCCAGTCTGAGAGCATGAAACATGTCTGGTAACTTGATAAGGGAAAAACACAGTCAACATCCATAAAAGTGGGGGAAACGATAAACTTGCAATTCTCAAGTGACTGACACCATGAAAGAAAATACTCAACATCTTTATAATAATAATATGCAAATTAAAGCAATGATGAAGTACTATAATTTACCTATCAAATTACCTAAGATTAAAAATATCAATATTTTTGTGGTGGTTAATGATACATGTCACCTTGGCTAGACTAAAACTCCCAGTGGTTTTACAGACACTACACATCACCTTCTGTTTTGTAATGTGATGTGAGCAGTCAGTTGGAAGAGGAGTTTCCTTAGAAGTATAACCTGCATTCTTTTTCTGTGTTTTCTTTTTCTTTTCTTCTTCTTCTTTTTTTTTTTTTTTTGTTATGTCTTCTGTTGCCCTGCACTTTTAATATAAACTCATGTTCTGGCTAGGTTGATCTCACATTCAGCACCTTATTCTCTGACCTCAAGTTACTGACACTTGACAAGCCTTTAAGTGGCTACTAAACCAGTACAGTTTTGACTCATTGACTTCCACACTCCCAGAAACCAGCAGCCTGACATCTGACCTGCTGGCTATGGATTCTTCAACCTCTGTCACATGAGTCAGAAAAAGCTCCCAGTCTGTCATCTGACTCACTAATTTGGCACTTGGCAGGCTTCACAATTTTTGTGAGCCATTTCTTTGAAATTAATATTTCTTTATATATTTATTGATGTATTTCACTAGTTTTGCTCTTCTAGAGAACCTATCCTAGGACAGCACTGTAAAGAGATGATTACTTTTGGGGAAATAGTTCGGTAGCATGTGTCACACTTTATATCTCACTCCCTGGGGCCCAGTAATTCTATGCCTCGTAATCTATTTTGAGGAAATAATTATTGATACAGTCATAGCTTTTTAATATATGCTTATACATTTAAGTGTTCAACAACTGTTATCAAAGGCAGATAGTCACTAAAAACCAAGATTATGAAACATTCTTAATGATGGGATTAGATGGTCACTTACTTAAGGGCAGATGAATAAAATGGGCTGCAAATGAATATTTAAGCATGTTAATGATTTTTTGGAAAAGAAAAATTATATAATGGAAAGGCAGTGACTATTGGTCTACAACAGTGTTGGTTACTAAGTGGTAGAATTGTGTACAGCTTTTTCAAAATTGTTTTCTACACATTTCAAAGTTTATAATCTAGAACTACTATGATTATAAAAAATATAAACTGTAGCTAAAAATTTATAGATGCATTTCACTGGTTTTGTTCCTCTAGAGAACTCAGCCTGAGACAATAAAAAAATCAGTATTAGTGGTGTATTGAGATCTATGCTTTCTGGAAAACAATTTGGTAATTTGTAGCCACACCTTGGTTAGAAATATCAAATGTGATTTACATTATCAACTGTTGTGAGTCATTAATATAACATAAAAAGTGAGAAAGAGCACAGTATATCAGAATTTATACACCTTATTACTGCCAAGCAAAAGTTCAAAGGGGAAACTCACTTGTTAATATTTCAAAGGTGAGCAGTAAATCAACCCACAATTTCCTTTAGCAATAAAACAACTTGAGACTCTTATAGGAAGTTCAGTTACAAAGCTGATTTGTTTACATTTTCTGCTAATAGCTGAGCTGTCAAAACTCATGTCTTCTACTTTCTTTTTACCTTATAAAACACACATTCATAGTTCCCCCCCCTTCACTCACACACACGACCCTATAAACAGAGTTGCTGTTGTTATTGTTAGGTGCCACTGAGTACAACTCATAGTGACCCTATGAACAACAGATCTGTCCTATCCTGTGCCATCATCACAATCTCTGAAACACTCAAGCCCATTGCTGCAGTCACTGTGCTAACCCACCTGGTTGAGAGTCTTCCTCTCCTTCGCCATCCCCTCAGCTTTCCAAGCATGATATCCTTCTCCAAGGAATAGCCTTTCCTAGCAACATGCCCAAAGCATGTGAGATGAAGCATCACTGTCCTTGCACTCTGGCTGCACCTTCTCCAAGACATATCTGTTGTTTTGACACTGTTACGTGCTATCAAATTGACTATAACTCATAGCAACACTGTGAACGACGGATCTGAACTTTCACTATCCTGTATCATCCCCATGACCTCTACCAGGTTCAAGTCCATTGTTACAATCTCTGTGTCAATCTATCTCATTGAGGGTGGGTCTCCTCCTCACGCATGTAAACACACATGTAGCGCTTAATCCAACTATTTGCATTCTTACCTGAATCATTTTTGTGTGGACCCCTTGTCCCATTTCAATTCCACCATGAGTTACCAGCACAGACCCATCTAGGTAAATGTGAACCAGGGCAGCAGCCTAAACAGAGAAGATGAAAAGTCGCCATGATCTTTGTGATTGATCTCATCAAACACCACATTAGGGAAGACACTTTCCTTATAAGCAGATTCTTCTTTAACATCCTTCATCCTCCACCAAAAACATATGGAGGTACTTTGTCTGCTGCCCCTGAGGTCTAGGGCAATTCTGAGATAAGTCTGCCTCATGGTTGCCCCTAAAATACCAATTTGTCCCAGGAGGACTTGCAGTGTGTACTTTATGCTTTTCTCTCGTTAATAAAACATTTGAGCACACTGGCACTTTATAATACCCCTTTATTTTGGATTTCAAAAAAGTTCAAGGCTTTCTTCTGGGAGGTGAGAGTTATTTTTTTATTTGATTTTATACTGATTTATTTACAAAGTTCATATACATTGTTTATCACATTAGATTCTCTTTCCCATTTCCTTCACTCATCCCCCTCCCCACATCAGAAGGTGCGTATCATGTGATTAACCCACCCCACCCCTGCTTCCACCCTCTCCCACCTTGGATGCTCATACTCATTCTACAATAATGGTCTTATGTAATATTTGTCTTTATAGGACTGAGTTAGTTCACTTAGCATAATGCTCCCCAGATCCTCTCAAGTTAGGTAATAATTTATAAAATCATTGATTCTGCTTGCTATGTAGTATTCCATCGCATGAATGTACCATAATTTCTCAATCCATTCAATTGTGGTTGAACAAGTGGGCTATTTCCGTGATCTTGTGATGAGGAACAGCGCTGCTATGAACATTGGTGTTCAAGTCTCTGTTTGTACCTCAGTTCTCATTCTCTTGGGGTATATTCCAAGCAGTGGAATATCTGGGTCATATGGACTTTCTATGTTCATTTTCTTGAGGAAGCACCAAACTGCCTTCCAGAGTGGTTGTACCATTTTACAATCCCACCAACAATGAATAAGAGTTCCTATCTTGCAACTGATTGTCTCCAACTTATTACTTGCTGTCCTATTAAACTTTGCCACTGCTACTGGGGTAAGATAGTGTCTCATTGTGGTTTTGATTTTTATCACTTCTATTGCCAGGGTAAACAGGTTGAAAAAAGAGATAATTGTGGGTACACATTTTTTCTGTAGTTGTAGGTGTGTTGTTTAAGAGCCAAAACAAAAATACAAATAAGAAGGGAACATATACTCCTCAACAAGCCATTAATTTTTGTTTCAAAATAGGCTAAGTACATTCCAAACCACATTGGCAGATAAATTACTGAATTTGAGTTAGAAAGAAACTTAGATACAATCTAATCTAACTGCAACTCCTCATAGGGACCAAAAAAAGGAACCAAATTCCTGCCTATAATCAGCAACGCATTTTAAGCTAAACATATTTTACAATGAACAACAATGTATCTTCTTTCAAGTTTGTCTAAGCTAAATGGTTATACAGTGCTGAAAAAAAAATTTAAAAAATCAGAGCTTCATTGAAACAGATGAGGGAGAGAATAGTTTAAAAGTGATATATGATAGGATATTATAGTTATCACAAGAGTCCACAATTAAGGTTGCATAGTGGAATGTACTTGGGGCAGTGAGAGGGGTGTGGGGGGATTGTATACCAAAGAAAGAATTTTTCTTCTACTTTTCTTTTTTTTTTAATTATTATTAAATTTTATTAGTTTCAGTGAACATTCACAGGGATTCTGGGCTTTCACTCCTTCATTGCCGCACCATTCTCTCCACCCTCCTCCCCAGTTTGTTCTTCTTCCCCGCCATCCGAATGTCTGTTTTAATTGTCTAATTGCCACAGTGGCAATTTCTTCTACTTTTCAAAGAGAGGAGCAAACTGGCGAGGTGGCGGGGAGGAGGAGGAGTGGGGGAGGGGGGAGAGTTGGGCAGGGAGAAAAGTGCAACAATGAATGAATGGAAATCCAAAATATCTGTAAATGTTCATTAAAATTAAAAAAATTGAAGTGGAAAAAAACAAACCCAAGAAAGAAAAAAAAAAATCAGAGCTTCAAATGGGTTCGTTCATGGCCAATGTGGTACATGTGATTTGTTCATGGTAAGGAAGAACAGAACCAGATTTATAAAATGTGGTGTACTGGACTGATAACTGTAACGGGGGAAATGATGGGTTGGAGTCCTGGAATAGGGGAGTTGGAAGAATTTCCACTCTTAGTGCTAGTGAGCCCTTTCAGGAGCCTGATACAGGATACAGGACTATTGTCAGGATGGATTCAAAGGGACACAGCCGGCCCCCGTCTTTGAGCCTGACTCCTGTTTCAGACTCTGCCTGTAAAGAGGTGTCACTGCCGTGAACACGCACGACAGCCTTGCTTTCCAGGAAGGAGGTGAGGTTCCCAGGAGGACTTTGGCCACTTCCCCACCTCATCTGGTACAGGAACATTTTACAAATTCAGGCCCGTTCTGGTTTTGCATCTTCAGCCTTTATTGAATCAGGAAAACCTGGGAGGATCCTGAGACCATAAAATAGTAGAGACGATCATAAGTATTGTGCCAAGAGCTTTGGAAGGAGACAGCAGAGGGTATTTTACTATTAACTCATTGCTCCGAACCATCTTTAGGAGCTCCTGGTAATATATTTTTCAAAACAATAACGATCAGGAGTTGACATCTGATGAGGAGCACCCGCAGCCATCAGAAGCAAGCTGACAGCAGCAGCAGGGAAAACCCCCAGCACTCCATCCTGTTGCTCTGCATTTATATTCTTCTAGACGTGGGACCCCTGAGGGAAGCACCACATCCTAAGGCAACACTTGAAATGCAAGCAGTGTTTCATGTGTAGTAGCTGCTCAATAAATGTTTGACAAGTAAATCTTCACTGGCATCGTCATCTGACTTCTTAGGCTTAAAAGCTGGACCTGGCCTCTGTTTGGTCCCCTTGGTTCTGCCAGCAGAGTGTGGGCCTGGTGTGAAACTGGTCTTGGTGCATGTGATTGAGCTATGGTTACAGTGGCTTGTATATTTCCTTCAGGGAAAGACACCCCACCCCACCCCCCGCCTCTCCCCAGAAAAAGCCCTCCACCTGCACATCCAGGGCAGCATTTCTATTAAAGGCTGCTGAGTAATTCGTTCCATGTGGTGCTGCAATCGCCTCAGGCCATTTAAGATGTCAAAATTGGTTCGGTTAAGTGGCACCGCTGGATGGTTCATTGTCAGCATTACAAAAGATAATTCCACAAAGCTTCATCTACAAAATTGGCACCACTGGAGCGTTGAAACAGATGGTTCTTCAATATAAATAGTGGTATTAGTGAGAGAAATTTGAGTTTTCAAGCAATGATTGCTGGTATTGTTGAAAAGTTTGTTTTAATACCACGTATTCCTCAAACGTCCCACTCATTTAAAAAGTTGAGTTCGTCTTCTGTGCCAGGCTCTGTGTAAAGGCCTCAGTTATACATTGTGAATGACACCCTCTGTGTGTTCTTGAGTGTTCACAGTTTAGGAATTAAGCATAAGGTCAAGGAGGCATGTTTGCCAGCCCCTCCCCCAGCTGTCGAGAGCACAAGGCTGCTTCTGCTCAGGGAGGTGGCGTGGATGATGCGGGGACATGGGGCCCATGGCCAGGCAGCCCTGAGGTCAAATCCTTATTTGCTATCCATAGTTGGATGTCCTTGGACAAGACAGTGATTCTTAGGGGGGCTTCAGTTATTCCATCTATGCTGTTTATCTGTCATCGTGTCACCCTCACTCAGGGCAACCACAATCACAACAAACGTTGTGCAATCCTCTGCCACAAGCAGTTTGCTTGGATCAGACCCATCCCCAGGGATTTCTCTGGCTGGTTTTAGGAAGCAGATTGCCTGGCTCTTCTCATTAGTCTGTCTTCTCTGGAAGCTCCACTGAAATCTGCTCAGCATCATCACATCAATGCACAAGTTTCCACTGAGAGGTGGTTGCTGTGCACACAGTGCCTGGGCAGGGAATTGAACCAGGCCTCATGCACAGAAGGTGAGGATTCTACCGCGGAATCACTGATGTCTTCACTTCTATTCTACAAACCAGAAATAATAACACTTCCTCAAAGCGATGAGATTACAAAGTGCTTAGGCCACTGCCTTCCCCCTGGAAAGGCACTCAAGTCTCATTTGCCATACCTTCCTCTTTTGGTTTACTGCAAAAAACAGTGGTTCAATGCGTGTCAACCAGACAGCAACTTGATTGAGCTTAACTCTGTGATTGAACCCCTAAGGAAATATTTAAACATAGAATCTGGTCTAGACAGAAGGATGCCAGCAGCCTTTGAGAATGAATCTGTACTGACAGCTACTTCCCTGGATTTTTCCCAGCTGAGCTGAGTCCCCAGCTCAGTTCCCACATCAGATCCTTTAGGGACACATTTGGATGGCATTGAGAAAGAAAAGAAAAAAAATCCAGACAGTTCTGGAAGTGAATTGGACCTGGATTCTGATCTTGGGCCTGCTCTCACCAGATGGTAGCTGTGAGGCACAGTGTTTGAGTCCTCTGAGGCTCCCTTCTCTTCAGGTTCAAACAAAGATACAAATCTTACAGGCTGCCCTGAAGGAACCTGAGCATGAATGAGTTCTAAAACACAGTACTGTAACACAGTAGGTGCTCTGGGCAGACTTAGCCCAGGGTGGAGGCTACTAGACATCAAGTTGTAACTGCTGGGTTTCCAGAGAATTACTGAACAATGGAGACTGTCCTGCTTTACCAGCCAATCTCCCCAAGGACAGATGGCCCAGAGTGACTTTGCTATCTGTCAGCCAATCAGTTTACCCCAAAATTTGTAAACCAAGACTTAACCATTGGCAAACTTTGCTCCCAGGTATTAAAAAAAAATCAGAGGTTGTTCCCCATTTCCCCCCCACCCCACCCCCCAACATCCCATGTTTGCCTGAGATCCTCAACACAGGTTTTGACTGCCTTCCTCTTTAGGGTAAATCCTGAGCAGACCACTAATTGGCTCTGTGCTTCTCTTTGCTATTGTAAATAGGGACTGGGTGAGGTTGTAATCCTCCTCTGAGCTAGCACCTCTCTGCAGTCACAGCTGCATGCAAACAATCCAACAAAGTGCAAAGACACAAACGCTGATCCAGGTTAGTCGGAACAATGGATGGGGTGAAGTCCTACCTGTGTTCCCAGCTCGACTTCACAAGTACACGCTTGATCCCACTCACAGCTCCTCCCTTCATTTATCCCAGCATCAACACACCTGTTATGCTTTTCTCAGGGATTAACTAGAGGCGCGGGTTTTACAAAGGCAGAGAAAACAACTTATCTAAGGAAGAATAAAGGCGGCAGGGTCCGCAGCACGTGAGCTAGAGGAAAGCAGTTCTTCACCTGCCAGCCAGGGGAGAAGTTTTCTCTCAGAAATGATGAAGCTGAAACAGCAAGTGGCATTTAGCAACCAAGCAAGGAGAGTTACTTAGCCAGTGAAAGAAATTCAATCCTGAGAGCAGATTTCCAATCTTCCCCATCACACTCTGAACAGCTATAAGCTGAATAAACTGTCGAAGTTGTGTATTCCTTAAGATGACTTAAACCACTGGACTTTCTGTATTTTTATCTACTTCAATTCACCAAAAAGAGGGGTAGGGTGTCAAATTCCCATGGCACAGAATCAGAGAGTGACAGGGAATCACTCAATCCCATCCTCTTTGCAGATGAGCAACTTGGGGCCCAATGGCCCAGAGCAAGTTGGCTTGCCTTGGGTGATTAATGACAGGACTGGAAGTAGACCCAAGGTCTCCTGATTTCCCAGGAAGAACATTTTCATCAGCCCTGAGCACACACTCAGCGGGGCTCTTGTCTCCTCTGGATTAAATAGAGCTGGCTTGATCTAGCCCAATTTTGCTGAAATCTGTTGCAATTAGGCATTGTAATCATCTGGCTAATCCAATTGAATGGATTCAGTTTTGTCCAGGCCTCTCTCTCCCTGGTGGCATTCCTACATGCGCTTGGGTACTGACCTGGCTGGCAGCGAGCGAGCCCATGCCAATAGGAAACTTCAGAGGGACCATGGCCAGTCCTTTCTTCTTCCAGTGATTCTCTGTGTTGAATCTCTCCACGGCTGCTTTCCTCAGAGAGTAAGAAGACATGGCCATGCATTCTTTCCAGCACTGGATCAGGTTCTTGGCATCAATCTCTTGTTTGTAGGGTGTCTGATCAATCTCCTTGTACATGTTTATTGTTCGGACCTTGAAGAGAAAAGAAAATGAAAATGGGGGTAAATCTGCATAATTTCTTCTATCCACTTCCTACTCTCATTCAAATTCTGTCCATCTTTTAAAACCTGAAACGAATTCTACTTATTATTTGTTGAAGCTTTTCCCAATGCTCAATGCATAATCTTTTTCTCTCTCATTTGTGTACCCCAGAGCATCTATTAAATATGTAATCACATGCTTACATGCGCTCGGTGATGCTCTTGTATCAATTCAAAGGAAGGAGACCATGCATTCCATAAACTATTAATTCTAGCTGTGATTGTGAATATCTGTTGAAAGGTAATCTTGAACTTAATTTCCAGGCTACATGATTTGGATTATGCAGATGCTGTGGCAAGATAGCACTACTCACTTTCAAAACACGAGAATACTAAAAAGTGTGATTTAAATATAATGACTACCTAGGATGAAGAACAAATTCAAAGACTCCATCCCTGGCTGTCTAAAGTGCTAAGTGGAGATTCCCCCCCCCCCTCACACCGTAATACCAGAACTGATGACTGTGCTCTCGAGCTGCCTTACTTTCTCAGGTGGAAAAACTCTCAATAGTTGTGACCGGTTACCTCCTGAGCTTGCCAATGGGGCCAAATACACATTCCCCACCACCACCTAAAAAGAATTTTAGGCTATTACAAGGGAAAGACTGAGTACTAGAGCTATATTTTTAAGGTGGTTATTCTGTCTTTAAAGAGCTCTTATGATGCAGAGGATTAAGTTAGTAAGAAAGAAGGTTGATGCGTTGGGACTAAGGAAAGGAAAGTTGGGGCATCAAGCAAAGTGGGAACGAGGATGGGAGCATTAGATGCCAGCCGAGGGTCAGCTGGAGAGTCAAACAATCTTCAGAAGGGACTGTCAATTTCAGGGAGAACAGGCAGACTTGGAACCATCAGACAACATACTCAAAGAGTGGCTACCCCTCACCAAAGAGAGGTCCATGAGCTTGCTGGGAGAGGTTACATGACGAGAAACCACAAGCATACTTTTCTCAGAGGGCCCAAGTCAATTAAAACTCTCAATCGTATTTGATATTGCTGGAGGTCTTGAGATGTATCTCATTTTTACTTTTAAAATGTATGCAACATCTATGTGAACTGAAGTCTGTACTCTGCTTCAAGAACTCTCAACTTACTAAAGTTCACTTTAACAGATCTTTGTTGAACTAAATCAAATTGAAAACAAAGTAGCAGTCAAGAAAATGGTTTATGAAGTCCTGCAGTTTGAGTTAGTTAAAACACCTTGAGTTTTTACCCATCCTTCTTCTCATCTTCCCAGTCCTAATACCACCATGGAAGACACAGAGGAGGAGGAGATGGCAAGAGAGAGGTCTCCCCACGCCAACACCCATCTAGCATCCTGGGACAGAAGAGGTGCAGGAAGAGGAACAGAGTTCATGTTAATGAATGAAGCTGACTCAAAATACCTGTAGAGAGACCAGTTTAGTAGATGATTACAAGTTTCTAGTTGTTGTTGTTGTTGTTGATTGCCTTGGGGTCAAGCATGACTCACAGCAACCCTATGAACAAAAGGCCTGAAGACCCTCTATAACTATCGACATTTATCAAAAAGTTTAGAAAGCCATCCTAAAACGTTTTTAAGGAAGCCTAGTACACGGGGCCAGGATGGGCCAACGTTCAGATCTATTGTTCTTAGGGTTGCCATGAGTCCTAGTCAACTGCAGCACTTAACAATGACAACAACACTACTCAGGGGAAAGATGGGTTTGATAGAACTTGTGTTAGTAATGATATAATACAGCCAATGGAGGCTCTTCACTATTAAAGTTCAATGTTCCTTAGTGTCCTCTGTCTCAGGATTTTTGAGCAGACAAGAATCACTGAACACTGAATTCTTGCCTCTGTATTAACCAGGTAGTCTGCTCCCTTGAGCAAATCATTAGCCTCCTACACTGTCAAATGTCTTGACTGGAATGGCTCTCAAGAGCCCTTCCATCTCTCGGTTTTGAAGTCTTTTGGATATTATACTAATTCTGTATTACCTTCTCAGGGGACAAACCACATCTGGCTGCCACATCCGTGATACAGGATTCAGTGATCAGTGCTGCCTGAGGAAACCCAAATCCACGCAAAGCTGTGTTGGATGGAAGATTGGTTCTGCAGGCCCGGGCCCGGCAGCGCAGGTTGGGAAACTTGTAAGCATTGTCCATTTTCAGAACTCCCATCTCTATCACCTAGAATGATCCATAGTGAATGTTACAAGAGCTTCATCTTTCTATAAATGTTTGGTCATCCTGAGACCTCAGACCAAAATGGCAGCCAACTCTACAGCTCCTTAAAGATGCTAAAGTATTTCACATGCTCCAAGTCAAAGAAATACATTTTGCTGTAAAATAACTTATAAAGAACTTGAATAATTTTTCTTTTGGAATCATTACATATGTCTTACTCATTTTAGAGCCCAAGAGCCTATGCTTTTAAAGAAAATTCAAGTTTCAAACATTTCCAAATGCCGTTAAAAAGTTCATTACAAGACCAAAACATTGGGTTTGTAGAATGTAAATGATAAAATATTCTGGAAAAGAGAAAAAACCCTTTTGGTGTTTAGTCTAATGCAATGATTCTCAGCTAGTGATGATTTTGTCTCCCAGGGATATTTAGTCTGGAACATTAGAGAACGATGATGGTTTACTGGTAAGGAGTTGAGCTGCCAAAGCAAAGGCGTATGGTTCAAATCCATCATCTGCTCCATGGTAGAAAGATGGGCAATCTCCTCCTTTGCTATTTATTGCCTCTGAAAACCCACTGAAGGGTCAGCCATGGGTTGGTTCTGCCTCAACAGTACACAACAACAACAACAAAGGTTGGTGTGAAGGAAGAGGGGCAAAATTGCTGACATCTACTGAGGAGAAGCCAAGGATGTTGTTGTATATCCAAAGTGTTAACAAGGTTGAGATTGGAAAAGTCTTGTCTTATTATTACATCCAGGAAAAGTACTAAGTATGATTACTACTTAACAATTGAACATTTTCAATTAGATAATTTTGTCCAACACTCTGAAGAATACAAATTTGCTCCTTAAAGCACTTACAAATACTGATTCATCCAGGGAGGCACCTCCATTGCTATAATGCACAGTATCCAGGGCCAAGATTCTGCCATCGTTCATGAAGCCAACCTGTAAAAAGAGAACTGATCTTTAATAATGGCACTGGGGTCAAATCTCACTAAAGTTCACTTATTATATGTGAATTTTCCACAGATTAGTCGTGGCCTCATTGAGATATTATCTATATTCATTTCAAAATTGGAACATATTATTTATTCTACATTCATTTCCTCCAACACTATCTCCTTTCAAATACAGAGACTCCTGATCCTTTCAGAAAAGGCACAGCAAGACATGGAAGCAAAACAAACAAAAAACGCCCTTGTTCCTTCTGTCACTGATGATCAACCAACTCCTCCTCCTCCTCAAAGAACAGCAATATTTTAATAAAAAATATTAAGCAAATGCATAAATTCATGTGTGATCTTTCATTCTTAACTCCTTGAATTCTGTTTCCCATCCTTTTTTCTTTCTAGAGACATCTTTAAAACCATTGATCATTTCCTAATCTCCAAAGTTGGAGGATCACTCATAGTATATGCTATATATTTTTCTGTAAGCATAGAGAAAGATTACTACATTTTCCAGGCTTCCTTGCAGTGATATGAAAGAGGTCTGGCCCACAAAGTTTTAAGTAGAAACATGAGCAGCACTTGCAGATCTTGGTTTTGAAACATTCCCCCAGTGATCTTCCATGCCCCCTCACCGCCTGTCTGCTGGCCTCTGTGGAAGACCCAGTGAAAGACTCAGAGGTTTAGGACAGTGCTGCCCAACAGAACTTACAGTGATGTTGCATTGTCCCGTGTCTGCACAGTTCCCTCTAGTTGCCACGAGGCACATATGGTTACTAAGTCCTTAAAATGTGGCTGATGTACTTGGGGTGGTGGGAGGGGTGTGGGGGGATTGTGTACCAGGGAGGGAGTCTTTCTTTTGCTTTTTGAGGAGAGGAGCGAACTGGGGGTTTGGGGGAGAGGGTTGGGCAGGTAGAGAAGTGCAGCAATGAATGAATGGAAATCCAAATTCTCTGTAAATGTTCATTAAAATTATTAAAAAAAAAGAAAAGAAAAAACTGTGGCTGATGGAATGGATGATTGAAGAAGAATCAATGCCTTTACATTGTGGAACTGGTGAAGAGTACTGAATATACAGTGGACTGCCAAAAAACCCCAAACAAGTCTGGCTTGGCGGAAGTATAGTCAGAGTGCTCCTTGGAGGCAAGGATTGTGAAACTTCCTTTCACATACTTTGACATGTTAACAAAAAGGGCCAGTCCTTTAAAAAAAAAAATATCATGCTGGGAAAGGTTGAGGGTCAGGAAAAGAATAGATGATCCTCAACCAAATGGACTGACACAGGGACTGCAACGACGGGCTCGATTAAGTCGGAGACTGTGAGGCGGTTCAGGGCCAGGCAAGCTCCCAATCTATCGTTCATAGTCATTATGAGTCATGGTGGACACAAAGACACCCAACAAAAGCAACACCAAAGCTGCAGAGGAACTAAGTTGTCATTTTATTTATTAAAGGAGTTCTGATGGCTCTGTCATCCTAGCAGACAGGGTGTTGTGCTATCAAATCAAAGGTGGCTGTCATTTTTGTGTGTCATAGAGTCAGAACCGACCCATAGCTGACTCTCCGGCCAGTTTTCAGAGGCAAATAATCACATCGGAGGAGACTGCCCATTCTTCTCCCATGAAGCAGCTGGTGGCCTCAAATTGCATGTCTTTGGGATTGTAGTGTAGCTTCTTGCCTCTAGGCCACTAGCGCTCCACCAGAACTCAAAAGTAGATGGTTCAAATCTATCAGCTGCTCCACGGGAGATGGATGGGCAGTCCAAGAAAGATTTACAGCCTTGGAAACTCACAGGAAGGTTACTATGAGTCAGAACTGACTTGATGGCAGTGGGAAAATATGTGGGAAGAAGCATGGTTGGCTATCAGATCTACATTAATGGAGAAATCAACACTCTTGGCACCAGAAGCCAGGAATTTAAAAGATGTATTGCATTGGGAAAGTCTGCTGTCAGAGAAGTCTCCAGAGTGCTGAAGAGCAATGATGTCATTCTGAAGACTAAGGTGAGCCTGATATTGGCCATGGTCTTTGCAATCACTTGCTATGCATCAGAGAACTGGACAATGACTAGGGAGGACAGAAGGAGAATTGATGCCTTTCAGCTGTGGTGCTGGAGAAGAGTATTGAATATACTATGGACTGCTAAGAGAACAAACAGGTTTGTCCTAGAGAGAGTTAAATCAGGTTGCTCCTTAGAGGCAAAGATTCTGAAATTTCATCTGACATACTTTGGACACTTTGCAAGGAGGAACCAATCCATGGGGAGGGCGTCATGCTTAGAAAGGTGGAGGGACAGTACAGGAGAGGAAGGCCCTTGATGAGATGGACTGATTCAGTGACTCGGCTAATGGAGGTCGTTGTGTCAGAGACAGTAAGATTGGTGCAGGATAGAGCAGGGCTTAGGGCTGTTGTACATAGGGTCGCTATGAGTCGCAGGCCACTCGACAGCACATGTTTTCCAGTTATTCACTCCTAGCAGCTAATATCAGTGAGGGCTTTTTCACAAACTGACATCTCTGCGCAAAGCAGGAATGTTTCATTGAGTCAGCCTGTAATCAGCACAAGGAATAGGAAGTTAAACAAAAGCACAGTTTCTTGATTTGCTATCTGTTATTCAACACTAGAGAGTAGCCCCTATTCTTTGCCTTGTGGCAAACACTCTACATTCATTAAATGTTATATTAATAGTGTAAATTCTTTTTCTTTTACTCACTTTGTACTTCCCAAGGTAAGGGTGGCGGCCTCCAGTTATTAACATGTCTTCTCCTCGTTCCAGGATGCAACGGACTGCACGGCCAAGTCTAACCCAGAGACAGAGCAAATGAGGTTAAAGTCTTTTATCAAGCTGGTAGTCTCTGGGGCTTATGAAACTCCTACTGAGAGCTTAAGGAGAGTCCACACACTACACAACAATATCACCATGCATCCTAGGCTGTGCTAATCCCAGGCAAACACCGTGGACACCTTCTGCCTGGGTTAGGACACAGCAACAAGCATTTAATGCGTAGCAGGGAGGGTCCTGGGTGCCAGGGGCCCTAGAACATCCCTTTGGGACATTTTCCACTATGGTAAAACCCCTGCTATAGGCAAATGTTACAGACATGTTAAGAATGGAGAAACTACTTTTATAAAATAGGACTGACATTGGGGCTGAGAGAAGACAGAGAAGCAGGGGAGGAAAGATACATACTGCATTTCATTGCAACAGATGAGGAAGATAACTGTTTAAAGGGATATATGATTAGGTATTAGTGTCATGACAGGAGTCCAGAATGAAGGCTGCACAATGCAATGAACTTGGCGCAGGGGGGCGGGGGGTGGTGGTGGTGGTGGGGGATTACATAGCAATTAAAGAGTTTTTCTTTTACACACCAAGGAGAACGTTAATGGGAGGGGAGGAGGTGACAGTGAATGACTGGAAACCCTAAGTCTCTGTAAACTTTCATTAAAATTAATATATTTTTTTTTAAATCACACACACAAAAAAAAAGAATGGAGGAACTTGGCTGTTGTCTTACTGCCAAATGTTACTGGAAGGATAGCAAAGGGATCAAGGTAGTTCTGCTTGCTGGGATTGGAAGAACTACTCTACAGGATTCTGGCAAAGACATTAAGCCATCTAAGTGTGCCTGTCCAAAAAGACAATTTCCTAGCCTCCTACTCAGAGAACTCTGGTGGCCTTGTGAGCAAGGAATTGGGCTGTCAATTCAAAGGAAGGTGGTTCAAATCCACCAGCTGCTCCTCGTGAGAAAGATGAGCAATATGCTCCCATGGGATTTACAGCCTCTGAATGTCTTCTGGAAGGTCAGCTATGGGTCAGTTCTGACTCAGGAGCACATAACAACAACACCGTACTGTTCTGAGATCCTGAAAGGAAAATGTCAATAAAAGTAAAGAGAGTATATAACAAAAGAAAAATTCTAAATCAAAGTAGAGTGTGTGTGTATTCTTACATATGTGTTTAAAAAGACAAGCTTAACAAATGCTAAAGACAAAGAAACCCTTTGAATTCTGCAACTGCTTCCTATCCAGGTACCACCATTTCTTTTTATTATCCTTTCCATTCTTTCCAGTAATTAATTCTCACTTTAATTCTTTCAGTATATAGTGTCACAACGTAAGATTAAAAAAATTGCAATAAATTAACAGCTTGCTTGTACACTTGCCTAATTTATGATGTAATTTTAGATAATCTTGGCCCAGATTCTTTCTCATTAATCCTAACATTCAGAGTTTTCATTTAGCTCATCTTATTTTTAGGTTATTTAATAATATTTTCCCTCCTCCACCTACTTGTTTGCAGCAAACGCGGTGATGGCCGCCATGATGCCCGTTTTCGTCACCTTTCCCCCGAACGCCCCTCCAACACGCTTCACATGGCACATGACCTTGTTAGCTGGGACCTTCAAGGTTGAGGCCACGATATCCTGTGAACGGTAACAGTTCTCATTACTCTGGCCCACTGTCTGCACGGCCTTAATTGTCACTCACTGTCACCTTCACGATCCTAACAAAAAGAAAGCATCTCCTGCAGATGGGAGCGGGACAGCACTGCCCTTTTTGATCCCTTAAGGTTGTGGGTGACACACAAACTGCTAAATGAAGGAACAGAGTTCACACAACCGTGACATGCCTACCTGCCTGCTCTCGGCACTGCTTGGTTATAATGATATCACTGTCCAGAAGATTTTTAAAACCTCTGATCAAAAGTAAAAGGCCTTAAATAAAGCAAGGTTTATGTCACTTTCAGCAAAATTAGATCCGACTTTTTCCTAGATGGCTGTTCTTAGGTTTCTTATCTGGTGAAACAAGTCTAAATAACTTATGTTGTATTTTCTCTGTACCCAAGTCAGTATGTGAAGGAAATACACGCCCCCCAAAAAAAGGGTGTTGATACAGACACAGTAGGGTGAAATGGCCTTTAAAAATATTCTTTTTATAAGAATGTAGAAACAAAGTCTCAAGGAAAAGCCTTGGGTAGGCAACTCTTATCTAAGTTTCCCATGAAATCCAGAAGGTTTCACTTGAACAAGCAGTTTCTAAAGAAAATCCCTTGGGGTTAATTCTTATTAGCAGCTCTGGGCTCAAGTAATGTTTTAGATTAACTTAGATATTATTGCCTACAGACAAAGGTGTGCCTGATCCAGGCCATGGTCTTCACAATTACTTACTGTGCATCAGATAACTGGACAATGACCATGGATGACAGAAGAACAATTGATGCCTTTGTGTTGTGGTGCTGGAGAAGAATGCTGAACATACCATGGACAACCAGAAGAACAAAATAGGTCTGTTGTGGAGCCTTCTTGGAGGCTAGGATTTTGAAGCTCTGTCTCACATACTTTGGGCATGTGGCCAGAAGAGACCAATCCTTGGAGAAGGACATCATGCTTGGAAGGGCAGAGGGACAGCATAGGAGAGGAAAAGCCTGGATGAGACGGACTGACATGGTAACTGGGGCAATGGAATTAGATGTGTTGGAGTCAGTGAGACTGGCACAGGATAGGGCAGGGTTCAGAGCTATTGTACATCGGATCGCTATGAGTCATGGGCGACTCGATGGCACATAACAACAACAGACAGTATTATACCTCATTCTGAAAAGTAGACATTGTAAGGATTTTATGACAATAGTTGTAAATTTTGTAGTCTGCTGGACACATTATATACTATATTCCAAGAGCATAAGAAGAGATAAATAGCAGAAGCTGGACTATATAGAGAAGACTATGGCATGAGGACTGGGGAAGATCCACCACACTACTTGTATTATGAAGATGACACAATCTTGCTTGTAAAAAACAAAGATGACTTGAAGCACTTACTAATGAAGCTCAAACAAGGACTGTAACCTTCAGCATGGCTTACACCTCAACATAAAATAAAAGTCCTCACAACTGGAACAATAAATAATGTTAAATGGAGATAAGATTGATGATATCAAGGATTTAATTTTATTCTGATGCTCAATCAACACCCATGGAAGTAGCAGTCATGAAATTAAATAGCATATTGCAACAAGCAAATCGGCCACCAAGGACCTCTTTAAAATCCTAAAGATCAAGGATCTTCTTTTAAAGACTAAGGTGCACCCAAACCGTGCCATGGTATTTTCAATTGCTTGATATGCATGTAAAAGGATGGCAATGGAAAGAGAAGATTAAGGAGGAACTGATGCTGTCAAAATACAAAGTTAATAAAGAATATTGAAAATACCATGGGCTGTCAAAGAGCAAACAAATCTGTCCTGGAAGGTGTGTGGCCACCATGTTCCTCAGAAGCGAGGTCAGTGAGACCTTGTTTCACATACTGAGGGCATGTTATCAGGAGAGGCTAGTCTTAGAGAAGGACTTCCTGCTTAGAAAAGTAGAGGATCAATGGGAAAGACGAAGATCCTCAATGACACAGTGATGGCAAAAACCCAGACTTAAGCAGAGATGGCGAGAAAGGTATAGGATCGGGCAGGGTTTTGTTTTGTTGTATATATGATGACTATGAATCAGAACTGACTCGATAGCACCAGATAACAACAAAGGTGTTGGATGACTGTTAATACCAAAATGGATAGGGTTATAAGTGCCTAATATGCTCTCAGTTCCTGAAATGGTATTTTTGGCTCTACTTGCTCTCCTGTACTTGCTTTCTGCTGGCACAAAACAGTTGTGTCTCCTCTAGGATGGCCCCACATTACCTGTATGTATTTAGGAAACTGTGTGGAAACGTAAACATCCATTTCTTGATCTTCTCCTTTGGGCACCACAAGCATGCTTTGGGTTTCCATATAAAAATGTTCTTGGCCTCCTATATATATCTCACCTGTTGGAGAAAAATACACCTGAGACAAGGAGGCAGTGGGATAGAAAAGATCACACCCTCGCCACCGCAGCTGTTATCTAGTTATACAGGAATTGTACCAGCAGTGTCTGCAGAGGCAGCCAGCGACAACAGAAAGAGTCATTTAAAATCAATGCTTCGCTTTCACTAGACCTGTAGATTTTGAATAGAGTTTTGTAAGGCAAGCTGTTAGACTTACCAATATACTGGTTTAGTCAGAGTGAAAGATGTATGATATTCTACTGCCAAAACACTGTGGTAATTCAACTTCTAGTTCCAGGATAAGTAGGACTAGATGCATTTGTCTTCAACTGTTGTCATTGTTTGGGGTCATGCAGCCAAGCACCCCCCAGCAACTCTATGAACAACATATATGAACCATGTACTATCTGAAAGGGAAGAAGACTCTCCACCATATGGAGTGACACGGTGACTGCAGCGTTGGGCTCAAGTTTGGCAGATATCGTGACGATGTCTTCAACAGACCTGATATAAAAGAATAGGGCTCTCTGGTGGTTTAGTGGTAAGAAGTTGTGCTGCCCACTGAAGGCACATGGTTCAAATACACCAGCTGTTCCAAAGAGAAAGGTGGGCAATCTTCTCCTGTATGACTTACAGCCTCTGAAACCTCAGTAGAGCTATGAGCTGGTTCCAACTCAACCACACATAACAGTAATGATAAAGGAATGGCTAAGGCAAGTTCTTGAAACAGAAAAAAATTGATGAAAGAAAGAATACTGGCTCTGACAACACTGGAGCAAGAGATGCATTGCAAAGAGGCCTGGGGGAGGCGAAGGGAAAGGGGAAGAGGAAAAATGTGTAATTACTCTACCCTGTAAATTCTATTACTCTATAGTGCTTTTTTTTTTTCAGGAAACAGCATATGATAAAAAACCAGTGGTAATGAAGGAGAAAGTCCAAGCTGCATGGAGGCATCAATTCCTGGGCTTTTTTTCCAATGCTTCCATGCAGCTTGAACTTCCTCCTTCATTACCACTGGTTTTTGATCATATGCTGTTTCCTGGAAAAAAGCACTATAGAGTAATAGAATTTTCAGGAAGCTAGGAAGAGAAGGGATAAAAATAGAGGCCAAACTGAATACCAGCAAGAGCAGTCCTAACAATCAGTAAAATGTATCACATTTAAAAAGATGGAAAACATACTAAGTAACAGTAACTTTAAAATTGTTGAAGATTTCTTTAAAGAAATCTTTTGTATTTAAGTTAGAACAAGACATAAATCTTACCTTGTTCAAAGCCCAAATAACGAGAAAGCACAGAAAAATGAACAGATTCTTCCTCACTTATTGTTATTGTTGTTTGGTGCCATCAAGTATGACTCATAGCGGCTTTACGAACAACGGATCTGAACCCTGTGCTATCCTGTGCCATCCTCACAATCTGTGACACACTTGAGCCCATTGCAGAAGTCGCTGTGTCAATACACCTGGTGAGGGTCTTCCTCTGCTTCACTGTCTCTCCATCTTTCCAAGCAAGATGTCCTTCTCCAAGTGAGACAAAGCTTCATCATTTTTTGCCTCAAAGGAGCACTCTGGCTACACCTTCTCCAAGACATGTTTATTCTTTTAGAAGTCCATAGGATACTAAGCACTGTTCTCTAACACCTCAGTTCAAGGCATCAATTTTTTTTTCTGTCACTCTTATTCATTGTGCAGCTCTCAGATGCATAATAAGGGACTGAAAAAACTATGGCCTGAATCAAAAGCATCTTAGTCATCTCATCATTGTGTATAGAAGAGTCGGAACTGACCTATTGCTGACTCTTTGGTGCGTTTTCAGAGGCAGTCGCACAGGTGGAGATTGCCCATCTTTCTCCCACAGAGCTCTTGGTGGCCTCGAACCAGGTGCTTTTGGGATTACAGCACAGCACCTTGCCACTCAGCCACCAGAGCTCCCTTACTCCTCTTAGGAAATGTAAATATTAAGCTTTCAAGGATCTCTCTTTTAGTTTAAGCTTTTAGCAAAAACTATACACTGGAAAACCCCTGTGGTTGTCACCACATTCACATTTACATTCAGCTTATGGCATATCTGTGATTGCATCTGCCCACTTAGAATTCATTTTGTTAAATATCTGCTTCATTTAAAAGATACAATGCTAGAAAATAAATATGTAAACTGTTTCTTACTGGGCTGTTTCTGCTTAGTCCTATAAGATATGCAATGTGCAGGCTCCTTCACACTGTGTTGCCCAGGCCCCAAACCCCATTCAAAGATGTAATTTCTACCCCCCCCCCCCAACTCTCTTGGTTGGTAAGCATTTCATCAACACTTCCCTGAGGTAAAATTTTAACTTGGTATGGGCTTAGAAGTGATTCTTCCAGATATATATATACTAATAAGAGATCCTGAAAGGTGCAAAACCCTTTAAGATAAAAAGAATCTATCTGTGCTATGCCCAACAGGACAGAATGTAGGGAAAATAATCTTGTCTTCAGGGCTTCCTTAGGTCTCCTGCAAACCCTGCTGTAGATATTATCATTTATTAGTTCCAGTCTGAAGCCAGCCAGCTAACAGAAATTTTAAAAAGATAAACTACAAACGCATATGGTAGAGGAGCAAACACCAACTCCAGACGCAGGACACACACTGGATTCCTGGTCAATCACATAGCCTCTCTGGCATTAGCTCATTTGTAAACTGGATCTTAAATGCCCTTCAACATTACGATATCAGGAACAAGAAGGACTGAAATATATCACTAATTGGTAAAAAGTCAACAACAACATCACTCCTTCCTTCTAGGGTTTGTCACATTTTCAAGTTATTGTCGTTAAGTTTGAGCCAACTCATAGCTGACCCTCCAGAGGGTTCCTGGGGGCTGTAAATGGCACGGCGGAGACCGCCCATCTTTCTCCTGTGGAGTGGCTAGTGGATTTGCATAGACAGAGAGGTGCCCCCTTTTGGGTTAGCCCCACAACTCCTGATGGACCACACTACCAGAGAGAACTAACAGCACCTAGAACACTGCTGAGAATTCACTAGAACAGATTCTTGGCCTGCCTTCATTGCTCCAAGCCCAGAATTCCAAGGAGACCACAGACATTTCTCATTTCATAAACATTCTTGAAGAGTTTTACAATGAGGAAAAACTAGAAAACACTGCGTTTGATAAATGAACATGTGCCAGGTGTTAGTTCGACCTTAAAGCTCTCCCTGTCAATGAGATTGAGATCGAGATGGGAGAGAAAAGTAAGGGTGACTGATGGTAGTTTCTAGCGTGCACGAGAGACCAGTATCTTGGAAATTCTCTTAAAGTCAGACAATCTGACAATTTTTCTCTACTCCAGGGTCCTGCAGGCAGCCCATCCCCACCCACTGAAAACCTGGGTAAGTCAAAGATTTTGTTAGACTGGCATTACCGACCAGTTTCCACAGCACATCCAACACAGAAAATACTGGAGAATCCTGGGGGGGAAAGCATGGATTAAGACTTGCTTTATAAGTGAACATGAGCTGTATTCTGATTTAGGTAGTACTTATCTGGAGTTAGTTATTCCCCTTTGTCCAAAATGTGTTGTAAACCATAACCCCTCCTTCTACTTGTTGCTATAGCCACATTTGGGAATTGATAAAGAAAACTCTTTTAAGATATACAAGAGCAGAGTAGACAAGCAAGGAAACAGAGATGAGGGAAGCTAAACTTATAATCGATGAATATCAACAAACAGAAGCTGAAAGGGGACAAAAGGCTTCTCCCAACAGAGAAAGAAAGGCTTCCCTTAGGGCTAGCAGGTGACTTGACATTTCTAGACTCCTATGAGAAAACAAATTTGTTTGTTCAAGGCATCTACTTGTATTTTCCTTTTAGTAGTGCTAAATAACTACAACATTACCCAACTCTTGGAATTTGTAAAAACTCAGAGATGGATGAATCAGAAAGTATGAACAGTACTATATGTGAATTTTAAATTTTTTTAGCAGTTTTAAAAAATCACTTAAAAGATAACTGCAAAAATGAAAAGGGGGAACGTAGAATTGTACCTATGATGGTGGACTGGAATTGGAGGTACAGGATGAATTCTTAATTTTGCACATGCACAGCCCCCCATATATGCATAAGTATGGAGGGGGTATCTGTCCCTGGGTGGCACAAATGGTGAAATGCTGGGCTACTAACTGAAAAGTTAGCAGTTCAAATCCCTAATGGTACTTCAGAAGAAAAGTCTGGTGATGTACTCTGACAATCTGCCACTGAACATCCTTTGAAGTATGAGTCTGCTCTGACACACATGGTGTTGCTTTAACTTGGGATTGATTTGATGACAACTGGCTTGATTCTGGAATATATAAATAAACAGATATAGAAATGTGGCAGGGATGTGTGGGTGTATTTCCTAGTTCTGTTCCCTCAGAGGTTTTGAATGTAATCATGAGAAAACACCAGACAAACTCAACTGAAGCATGTTCTCCAGAGTAACTGGCCTGCCCTATTTAAAAACGTCAAGGTCATGAAGACAAAGGCGGGCTGTGTGGTCCTGGACTGGCTCCTGGTCATAAGAAAACAAGATCTTCTTTCTTTTACAATAAAGATGATTATTAAGAAAACTGACAAAACCTGAATAAGATCTGTAGATTAGTAATAAATAGCACAGTATCAATGCAAATGGTCTGATTTTGGTAACTATATCTTTGTGTGGGAGACTGTCCTTGTTATTAGAAAATAAATATGAAGTATTTGCTACAACTTATTCCCAAATGGATCAGGGCAGGAAGAAGATAGAAAGAGAGTATTAAAGCAAACAATATAAAATGTTAATAATTGCGGAATCTGAGGGAAAGGTAATGGGAAGGGTTTTTTGTTTGGTTTGGTTTTTTAATACTAGTTTATTTTAAAAATTCAAATACATTGTTTTTTCACATCAGATTCTTCTGGTAATGGGGAGTTTTTCTACTATCTCTGCAACTCTTCTGCAGTTTAAAATTGCTTCAAATGAAAAGGAACCAAAGTTTTATTGGGCAGCGAAAATGAACTATTTTCCAAGAGGCTAATTTTGATTATATGCATAGGGAAAATATCTGGAAGGAAAGAAGGGAGAGAAGAAGAAAAAAAGAAGAGGAATGAAAGGGGAAGCACCGAATCGGAGAAGGAAGCTGGGCTGTGGAAGTCCTCAGAGGCCATCGGCTACACCACCACTTTCACCACCTGGTAGTTCGTGTAAGACGTGGTCACGCTCCTTAACGACCCTGAGCTTCAGTTTCCCATTTGGAAAGACTGAGATAACAGTACCTCTGCCTTGCAGAATGGTTGTGTGTGTGGTAGTGTGTTTTGAGATAGTGTGTGTTTAGGGGTGTGTGTGTGTGTGATGTCGGACACTACATCTATAACAACCCGAGTTCAGATGAGCGTCTGAGGCTGCCACGGGCAAGGTCTTGTCCTTGGCCTCACACTGTGCCTCGCTGGAAAAAGCTTTTGAGATTCCTGGTTCTGAGGAACCCACCTAGGCTGCTAGACGATTTCCAGAAAGCAAAGGTAACATTGAACTAGACAAGCTTGGAAGGTTTGCAGGGTTACTTCTGGTCCCATTCTCACTTCAGATAGTTTTACCTTCAAGAATCTGGTCAGCCACTTTAAATGCTTCATCAACATTTCCATATTCCAGCTTCCTTTCTGGCTCAAAGAAGGAGTTGTGCTTTATAGCTTCCTAGAAAAAGAACCAAAAAGTCAGGCAGCGGGGGCAAGACAGCTCCTGAGCTGCAACCCAGGAAACCAGGGCACTTCTGGCCCAAACGCAGTGAGCTCTGAGTCAGTCTGCAGATAGACTCTTCAAGGAGCAAACACACACCCCCATTTCAGTCCAAAAGACAGAAGAGTGTGACCACAAAAAACCTTGAATCTCATCTATTCATGATGCTTCCCTCACAGCTTTATGTGTTAAATTATAAAAACCAATGAAATCTATGCAAATTAACACCCTGCTAAGTGTCATAGTGATGGTTCTAGTAACTCTTCCACATTTCGAATTCCTTTCTGGAAGCTCTGATGCCTTTGTTGTGACTTATCGTGGAGTTTGAACTGACTCATAGGTGGCCCTCCCCGGGTTTTCGGAAGCAGTTAATCTCACTAGAGAAGACTGTGCATTCTTTTCCCGTGGAGCAGCTGTGCAGACAGCTACCACTAGGCTATCAGAGCTCCCCTCTGGTGGCTTAGTGGTAGGGAATTGCACTACTAGTGCAAAGGCCCTCTGTTCAAATCCACCAGCTGCTCCAAAGAGGAAAGAATGCACAATCTCCTCTCATGTAATTTACTGCCTCTGAAAACCTGTTAGAGAGTCAGTGCTGGATCAGTTCAGATACAATGGAACACAGCAAAAAAACAGCAAATTCCTTTCTAGAAAATGAGGTGGTTATTGTTGGGATTAAGTACCACCAACTGGATTACAATCACAGCAAATCTATGAACAATGACTCTGAACTTTGGCCTACCCAGAGCCAGTTTCACCATCTCCAACTTACTTGACCCAATTGCCACAGTCACTGTGTTAGTCCATCTCCTCTGGGATCTTCCTCTATTGCACTCACATTCTACCCTTCCAAGCATGATGTCCTTCTCCAAGAACTGGCTCTTCCAAACAACATGCCCAAAGTATATGAGATGGAGCTTCAAAATCTTTGCCTCCAAGGAGCAACCTCGCTTCACCCTCTCCAGGAGACACCTGTTTGCTCTCTTGGCAGTCCACAGTGTGTTCAATCCTCTTCTTCAGCATCGTAACTCAAAGGCATTGATTCTTCTATTATCTTTGTCACTGTCCAGCTCTCAGATACAGAATACACAATGGAGAAGACCATGACTTGGATGAGGCTCATCTTAGTTTTTAGACTGACATTATTGCTCTTTAGGACTCTGGAGAGGTCGTTGGCAACATATTTTCCCACTGCAACTTGCCTTTTGATTTCCTGACTGCTAGTGCCAAGAGTGCTGATTGTGGATCCAAGCAAGATGAAATCGTTAACAACATCAACCTATTCTCCAGCTATCATGATGGCGCCTATTGGCCTGGAGGTGAGGATTTTTGTTTTCTTGCTATTGAGATAAGGCTACAGTCAATGATCTTCTGCAGCAAATGTGTCAAGTTCTCTTCAGTTTTCGTGAGCGAGGTTGTGTCATCTGCATAACGCAGTTTGTTGATGCGTCTTCCTCCAATCCTGATGTCACATCCTTCTCCATAAATTCCAGTTTCTCGAATAATCTTTCAGCATATAGATTGAAGAGGTATGGAGAAAGGGTACTTTCCCAAGTTTGACCCATGTACTGCCCCCTTGCTCTGTTTGGACAGTAACGACAATGACTTCTTGTTCTAGGTATAGGTTTAGGTTTTGCATGGGCAAAATCAAGAATTCTGGCATTCCCATTCTTCTCAGTGTTAGCCATAATATGCTATGTGAACACAGTAAAATGTCATTACACAGTCAGTGAAACACAAATAGACATATTTTTGGCACTCTCTGCCTTCAGCCAGGATCCATCTGACATCAGAAATGATATCCCTAGTGCCACAGCCTGTTCTAAACTCAGCTTATATTTCTGGCAGTTGTCTGTCAACATACTGTTCTAGTTGTTTTTGTTTTGCTTTTTGGTTTTTGCTTACATGTGATATTAATGATACTTCGATACCATGGAAACTGGTGTTCCATCAATTCCTGGAGCCTAATTTCTGGAGGAAATAAAAAACGTATTGCAATGGGAAAGTCTGCTGTTAGGGACCTCTCTAAAGTACTCAAGAGCAACGGTGTCTCTCTGGAGACTAAGGTGTGCCTGATACAGGCCATGGTCTTTGCAATCACTTGTTATGCATCAGAGAGTTGGACAATGACTAGGGAGGATAGAAGGAGAATTGATGCCTTTGAGCTGTGGTGCTGGAGAAGAGTATTGAATGTACCATGGACTGCCAAGAAAACAGATTCATCCTGGAGAGGATTAAACTAAGCTACTCCTTGGAGGCAAGGATTCTGGGGCTTCGTCTGACATACTTTGGGCATGTTGCAAGGAGGGACAGGTCCTTGGAGAGGGACATCATGCTTGGGAGGGTGGAGGGATGGCGCAAGGGGGAAGACCCTCTATGAGATGGATTGATTCAGCGACTGGGGTAATCGGGATGGGTGTGTCAGAGGCAGTGCGATTGGCACAGGATAGTGCAGGGTTTAGGGATGTTGTACATAAGGTCACTATGAGTCACACACGACTCGATGGCACATAACAACAACAACAACAATTTTTGGAGGGAGGGAGGCTTATTTTTTTGCCAATTCCTTCAAAGCAGCTTGAATTTCTTTCTTTTTAAGTACTGGTTCTTGATCATACAATACTTCTTGAAATGGTTCTGTGTCGGCCAATTCTTTGTAGTACAGTGACTATGTATTCCTTCTATCTTCTTTTGCTGCTTCCTGGATCATTCAATATTTTGCCCATAGCATCTGTTAGTATTGCAGCTAGGCTTGAATTTGTTCTTTAGGTCCTCCAGCTTGAGAAATGTGAGCAAATCTTTCCCTTTTGATTTTCTGCCTCCAACTCTTTGCACATTTCATTGTAATACCTTGCTTTGTCTTCATGAGCTGCTCTTTGAAATCTCTTGTTCAACTCTTTAACTTCATTATTTCTTCCCTTTCTTTTTGGCTTCTTGGTGTTCTTGGGCAATATTCAGAGTCCCCTTTGACATCCATTTTGGTCTTTTCTTTCTCCTTTGATTTTGTAATGACCTTTTGCACTCTTCATGGATGATATCCTTGATATTGTCCACAACTCATCTGGTCTTTGTTCATTAGTGTTCAATGTCTCAAACCTGTTCTTGAGAGGGTTTTTAAATTCAGGTGGAATAGACTCAAGGTAATATTTGGTTTCTGTGGATTTTTTTTTTTCATTTTCTTTAGCTTCAATTAGAATTTGCACATGAGCAGTTGATGGTCCGTTCCACAGTCAGTACCTGGCCAATTTCCACAGCTGATACTGAGCTTTTCCAATGATTCTCTTCACAGATATAATAAATCTTATATTTGTGTAGTTCATCAGGTGAGAACCATGTGTATAGTAATTGTGTTTTTATAAAAGATAATTTGCAGTGAACAAATTATTGCACAAAATTCTATCATTTGGTCTCTAGCTTCATTTCTTTCTCCAAGACCATGTTTTCCGATTACTGGTCCTTCTTCTCAACTTTTGCATTCCAGTCACCAATTATTATTAACAAATCTTGGTGTACATTAATCTCTTTCAGATTGTAAAAGTTGGTAGAAATCTTCTATTTCCTCCTCTCTGGCCGTAGTTGTTGGTGCATATATTTGAATGGTTCAGGATGTATCTAGAAATGTGCTTTTTGACTATGAATACACCTCATTTTTCTTTCCCAGTATAGTAGATCATATGATTATCCGATTCAATGTGGGCAATGCCAGTCCATCTCAACTCACTAATGCTTATTATGCCAACCTTTCTATGTGTTATAATGGAGTAGAAAATGCAATTTCTCAATTGTGTTAAGCAAACAAAGCACATTATAAGATATCTTACACTCATTTAAGGTATGTAGTAAAGAAAGTAAAAATGTTCTCTCCAATATTTGCTTCATAGAGAAGATCACTGTGTACCTGAGAGATTCTGGGAATAGGAAATGGGTAAACACAGAGAATTAGGGGATGTGTCCACCTGTTCTGGATGCTGCAGGTTGCCAAGTGAGCTTCTTACTTTCCAGTTCTGAACACTGCCCAGGTTTCTGTTTAGGTCTCTACCACTTCTTCACACAGCCCATGACTTCAAAGACATCTTAAAGATTAATTCAGAGTGGACATGTGATCTAAGTGGTTTAATTTAATTAATCTGACTCCTGCTGGGACGTTGGAAGAGCAGGTTTTCTCATGTTTGTTGGACATTAACCAGGAATGTTCACAGTGACTGGTTGCCATCCGTAACTACATGGAACCCAACTTGGGACACGGCCTGAACTGCAGGCAGCAGTGAGGAGACACAGAGAGAAACCAGGTTTTCAGGGACATTACTGACACTAAAAGTTTGAGATCAACAGAGCTCCTATCATTTGGGAACCACTTTGAATCAGATTGTTCTGTTGATACAAGTTAGGAAATTTAACCCTTATTGTCCCATGGGACAATAATCTTCCTGTTTTGCTCTGGGGTTTAATGGGCAACATGCGTCCCACTTTCAGTGTGTGTTGCAATTTGGTGGGGGTCTGTAAAAATGCATGACTCTTAAGAAACTGACCTCATCCAACCAGAGACCTCTTGGGATATAAGTGCCCCACATATTGTATCAATAGGGATCTCTGATGGTTAGTGGTAAAGAATTGTGCTCCAACCCAAAGGCACATGGTTCAAATATCCTAGCTACACCATGTGAGAAAGATGGGTAATGCCCTCAGTGATTAACTGCCTCTGAAAACTCACTGAAGGGTCAGCTATGGGTCAGTTCATACTCAAGTACACAAGAATTGTATCAAATTGCGTATTTCCTCTAAAAGTTGTTTTTCATTTCACTCAAAGTACCTCCCATTAATAGAGACACATAGTTTCAATAACAACCAAAAAAAAGAAAAAATAATTTGGCTTTAAAAGTGTTAATCGACACACCACTATTTCTGCTCTTGCAGCCACTGCACTGGCCCCACCTGAGACCTCATTACCTCAATTGTCAGGATCAGTGGTTCCAACTCCTTGTAAATAATCTTCACTCTCTTAGCAGCTTGCTTTGCTTGGACCTGGGAATCTGCAATCACAGCGCAGACCAGCTGACCCACACAAGACACCTACAACACAGAAGGAAACCAGGCACTTATTTTCTCCATAGACTCACCCTCTCTTTCCTAGACACACAGCAAATGACCCATTCATCCCTGTGAACAGCTACAGCTACCATGCCTCAGCTAGCAAAGGCTTTGATCGGAGGTGGCCTGCTCCCCCAGACATCACAGAGGGTCCAGATCTTTGCTGTATCATTGAGGGGCAGAGTGATGCTGCTTAAGACAGAACTTAGGCTCCAGACCAAGCTGATGGGACTTCTTCCTCAAGTTGCCTACTGCCTACAGCTGTCCTAAGAGAGCCTGTCACATGGCTGCTCCACCACCCCACTGACCAGAACCATTCTGAGAAAGGCACCTTTCAGTATTCTTTATGGCCAGGGAGGGCAAGCAGGCATGAGCCATGAAGGGTCGTTGTGTGATATAGCCCAGCACCACTGGTGAGCAAGTCTCTCAACACATGCATGGGTCAGAGCCTGGGCTGTTGTGACAAGACATGGAGCTGTACTAGTTAACACATAACCGTGCACAGAGCATCATTTTCAGGGCGAGAGGGGCTAGCATCCAGCATCACTGACCCTGTAGGTGGGGTAGGCCCCTGAGGAATCCATGGAAGAGCCCGGGCAGAATATTAGATGGGAAAAAAGATTAAGACTTGCTACTGTTAGCTGTCATCAGTTTGCTACATAAAAGGCTGCCTGGTTCTCCACCGTTCTCATGACCGGTGACAAACTGGACAGTTGTGCGTGAGTCATAGGATTTTTAATGGATGGGTTTTGGAAGTCAATTGCTAAGTAGGTTTTAATCTGGGTGGTGTTTGGTGGGGGGTTTTTCCCCTAAATTTTCATTTTTTTCTGATTGTGTACCATCGGGTTGAATCCAACGGGCACAGGAGGAGATTGCTTCTCCTCCTTCAACAGAGCATCTGGTGGATTCCAACCGTGCACCTTTGGGATTGCAATCATCTTCTTGTCACTAGGCCACCAGAGCTCCCTAAGTGTGTTTGAATCTGGAAACCCCACTGAAACCTGTTCAGAGCCAGAGTAACAAACACACAAGCCTCCAGTGGCAACAGCCAGGGGTTATATTAGCCAGGCCTGGAACACAGACCTCCTAAATGGAAGGGAAAGCTTCTACCATGGATTCACCAGTGCCTCTGGATTAAAGGGAGAAAGTGTAAAACAGTTCAGACTAGACGGTGACACCACTACTCTTCTGTTTTCTCTCCCATCATCTGCCATGATCACAATTCCAACTTAACTAGTCATTGGTGGGGAAAAATCATCTTCAAGCTATTATTATGCACTTTTCAAAATGGGCATAAAGCAGTTACATGATCAGAAAAAAAAAGCTTTAAAAAATGCCATTTTATGCATTTGTTGGGTGAGTGCAGGGATGAAAAGCTCAATGAAATAAGGACGGCAAGATAATAACTGTCGAAGCTGGGTGAGGAGTTCCCGGGGACTCACAGTACTACTCCATCTTTGTGTATATTTAAATTTTCTATAGTGAAAGGATTCTGTGAAGATACAGAAAGCTAAACACAAATGCTAAAAGAATTATGCCAACAACCGCTCTGTTCTCTGCTCTTCAAGGGCAGCTGGTTTTGCCAGTGTGATCTGTCATACTGATGTGGTATGAACCCCTGAGACAATCAGAAGCCACAGCTCACCTCAGAAAGCAAGCGCTATGCTGCAGCCTGACAGCTTTGCTTGTTTGGTTAACATTTATGCAAAGGCAAGAGCTCTCCTTATCTCCTGCCACTGCCTGGAGGCCCTGCCTTGGGATGGTTTCAGCCTTTAGTACATACTCTTGGGCATCACATTTTCAATTTTATCAGCTAAGTCTGCCAGCAAGAGCCAGAGGCAGGAACTGTTTCCAAATTAAGAAACTAAATACTGAACTGAGAAATCTGAACTATGCAGAAAACTTGCTGCACACTACTCTTGTTTCAATTTCTGAGAACTTAAAACCTGAGCACTAAAGTTTTAATGATGTGAAACTTTCAGATGGCAAAGATAGTACCACTGTTCTTCTACTGCTTTATCCTTTGATGTGGGAAGCAGTGTGCAGGCTGCAGATGAACCAGACACAGATTTTTCACTCAAGGAATTTTATACTAAGGAAATACCTGAGCCATTGATCAAACAAGTTTAATTCAAGGAAGAAAGTACATTAAGAATCTACTTTGTCTTTTCTTCTAGACTGTAACCCCCACCCCTGCCACCCACACCCAACCCTCCCCGCCAAGGGCAAGAAAAGAGAATTCTAGATCAAAGGATCATGGCGAAGATACAACTTAATTTGTACTTGGAACTTTGGACACTGAAACTGGAGGAATGTCAAGAGATTGATTCTCAGGGGAGATTAGCAATTAAAAGTTATCACTTTAGAGAACCCAGAAATCAGCTCATCCACCTATGGTCAATTGATCTTTGACATGGAGATGAAATTAGTTAAGGAGGGAAATGACAGTCTCTTTAACAAATGGTATTGGCAAAATTGAAAAACCATCTGTAGAAAATTTAAGCAAGACCCACACCTCACACTATATACAAAAAACAACTCAAGGTGGATCAGGGGCCTAGAAGTAAAACCAAAGAATATAAGATTCATCAGAGAAAAGCTAGGAAGAACTCTAGGAGGCCTAATCAACAGCATGAACAGTTTTTCAAGCATAATGAAAAACCTGTGCAGGACCTTCAAAGAATCAAATCCCTATTCACATCAAAAAGCTTCTCCAACAAGGTCAGAAGGAAATCCAAAGACTGAGAAAAGAAAATATTTGGCAATGACATATCTCATAGGGACTTACATCTACAATTTATAGAATACTAGTGGTAAGAAGCTGCAATCATGGTTCAAATCCACAAGCTGCTCCATGGGATAAAGATGGGTAGTCTCATCCCATGCACTTAATTGCCTCTGAAAACCCACCGGGGGGGTCAGCTATGGGTTAGTTCCCACTTGATGGTATACAACAACAACAACACCCAGCACTTCAACAAGGAAAAGGTAAACAATTCAATCTCAAAATGGGCACTGGATATGAATAGACACTTCACCAAAGAAAACATTCAGATGGCAAACACACATATATAAAAATGTTCAAAATCCTTAGCTATCAGAGAGATGCAAATCAAAACAACTGTAAGATATTATCTTACCCCAGTAACAACAGCAAAGTTCAACAGGGCAGCAAACAACAAATGCTGATGAGGTAGTGGAGAGAGTGGAACTCTTATTCCCTTTTAGTGTGAATGTAATATGGTACAACCTCTGCGGAAGGCAGTCTGGCGTTGCCCAAAAATTTGGAATAGAAATATTATTTGACCCAACAATGCCAGTACTGGGAATATATCCTAAAGATATGTTTGCAATTCAAACAGATGCATGCACACCTATGTTTATTGCTGCATTATTCACAATAGCAAGGAGATGAAAGCAACTCAAGTGACCATCAGCAAAAAAATGGATAGCAAAACTATGGTACCTCCATACACTGAAATATGACACAGCACTAAAAAAAATGAACTCATAAAACATTATATAACATCAGGAAAGCCTTGAGGATATTATGCTGTGTGAACTATCTCAGTCACAAAAGGACAAATACTGCGTAGCACTGCTATTATAAAATAGTACAGACATGAGAGATAATGGGAAAAGAGTGGCTAGATAATGAACACTGTATTAGAACAGATGAGAATTATTTGAAAGGATTATCTAATTAGGCAACAATTTTGAACAAAGGGTGCACAGTGGGATGGGATGGGGAAGAGGAAGAGGTGGGAGGGGAAGAAAATGTACAATAGAAAAAATACATATAAAAAATAAAGACAATGGACAACAACACAAAAAAACTATCATTGTTCTTCATTTCTCTCACATAGGTATTAGCAGCATACTATATTATGATGAGAAAATATAAAACACCAAAATCTTTTATATATATAATGGGTAAACATCTTATGTTGAAAATAAATATATTTAAATTTGTTCAACATTAGAACATCAATCATCACTAGTGAGTCTGAACTGATGCACCGTCGACCCTCCACTGGGTTTCCGAGAATCGTAATTATGCTGAAGGAGACTGCCAATCTCTCTCTCATGGAGTTGCGGGTGGATTGGAACCACCAAGATCTTCCCATTAGCAGCACAACTCCTTGTGGACTAAGCCACTAGTGTTTCCAACAACATTAGAGCATCGTGTCATAAGCATTCAAAGAATACTAGATTCCTCAAGAAATTCCAACACACCAGATTCAATCTTAAGACTATATAAAGTATCCTTATCTAAGTAAATTAATTTTAAAATAGAAAGAAGATAAGTACTTCATCTGCTGCCAGAAGGTTTTCCGGTTCTCCTAAAGTGCTGAAGGAGTTTACTCCATGAAGGTGTTCAGCGGTCACAATATCCACCACACCTGGCAGGCTGAGCGCTTCGGACACATCCAAAGACCTGGGTGAGAATATACACAGTTGGATTCCTCAAAGCATTACACAGCCTGAAGGCTATTGAGAATGTGATCATTTGGGGAATAGAATGTGAGAGAAGCAAAACATGTCCAAGAATCACTCCAACAGCTTAGAAATATGTCAAAGAACTGTGCAATAATTGGGAAGAAATTCCTAGGGCAGGGAAATTATCACATAAGAGATATAAATGGTAGTAAATTCTATATTTACCTCTAGTCAGTACTGGATATTTCTAACACTTAACCCTCTCCATATAGTTACATTTTAGTAGAGAGAAAATACAAGCTGGGTACCTTTTGCCAATAATATGTCTTAAGAATTAAGTGAAAAGGCACTCATTCACCACAGTTGGTTAGAATCTCTATCACTTACACAATCTTCGCATGAGCCTTTGAACTGGTTACAAAAGTCAAGAAAAGTTCTCGATCCACTGCAGGCATATCATCACAGTAGATGGCTTCACCTGTGGCATGCTTAATGCCAGAGAGATGCATGATGGGATGGCCAATTGTGTCTTGAGGAAGTTGCTGTGGGTCCACACTCTATTTAATAAATAATCAGCATGATTTTAACATTTGTGTAGGGGAAATGGAAAGGATTGTTATTATATAATATGTTTCCCAGAAAAAGGTAGCTTTATAATTTATATGCAAACTAGAACCCTTTTGAGAATGGAAATGTTGTTGTTGTTATGTGCCATTGAGTGGCTTGCGACTTATAGTGACCCTATGTACAAGAGCCCTAAACGCCATTCTATCCTGTGCCAACCTCGCCGTCTCAAACACATTCATTCCCACCACTCCACTCACAGAATCGATCTATCTCATCTAGGGTCTTCCTCTCCTGCGCCATCCCTCCACTCTCCCAAACATGATGTCCCTCTCCAAGGACCAGTCCCTCCTTGCAACATGCCCAAAATATGTCAGACGAAGCTTCAGAATCCTTGACTCCAAGGAGCATTCTGGCTTCACCTCTCCAGGACAAACCTGTTTGTTCTCCTAGCAGTCCATGGTATATTCAACACTTGTCTCCAGCACCACAGCTCAAAGGCATCAATTCTCTTTCTATCATCCCTATTCGCTGTCCAACTCTCTGATGCATAGTACATAATTGCAAAGACTATAGCCTGGATCAGGTGCACCTTAGTCTCCAGCCTGATATCGTTGCTCTTCAGTATTCTTGAGAGGTCCCTCACAGCTGACTTTCCCAATACAATTACTCTCCTGACTTCCTGGCTACTGTTACCAAGAGTGTTGACTTTGGAACCAAGTAAACTAAAACTGTGAACTATCTCAATCTCTTCACCATCCATACTGATGCTGCCAATTGGCCCAGTGGTGAGAATCTTTGTTTTCTTGATGTTGAGCTTCAATCCATATTGAAGACTGCATTCCTTGACCTTCTGTAGCAAGTGTTACAGGTCCTCCTCAGTTTCAGCAAGCAGTGTTGTGTCATCTGCGTAATGCAGGTTGTTGATGCTTCTTCCACCAATCCTGATGCCACATTCCTCCTCATACAGCGCAGCATCTCGGATGATCTGTTCTGCACGCAGATTGAAAAGGTATGGAGACAAAATACATCCTTGACGGACCCCTTTTTGATTTTGAACCAACCAGTGTCTCCCTGCTCTGACGACTGCCTCTTGGTCCCAGTATAGGTTTCGCATTAGCACAATCAAATATTCTGGGATTCCCATTCTTCTCAGAGTCAGCCATTGCTTGTTGTAATCCACACAGTCAAAATCCTTTGCATAGTCAATGAAGCATAGATAGACATTCTTCTGGTTTTCTCTGCTTTCTGCCAAGATCCATCTAACATTAGCTATAATATACCTAGTACCACGACCTCTTCTAAATCCAGCCTGCCCATCTGGCAGTTCTCTGCTGACATATTGAATGGAAATAGTCACTAGTAATAACACTATGACAATACACCTGAACTTATATCCTAAGTAAACTAGATGTATATTCACCTGATACACATTGTTCTTTTTTCAAGTTTATATCATAAGCATCTCTTGTGAACATTTTGCTTGTATAAATAGGGAAATATAAATTTCTCTTACTGGTAAAGACATAGTAAAATTGTCTTCTTGTTAATGCTCATGTATTAAAAATTATAAGTAAAATGTTTTACTGTTTATATTTATGCATGAGATGCTATGTATTTACAGAAGAATCTGATAATATTGTGTGTATGTTTCTAGGCAATACTGAGAGTGTATGTACAACCTAATAGTTTTCCCTTCCTATTTTGAGTGAGGAAATCAAAGAAGTAATTGGCTGGATTCATATTAAAAACAACTCTTTTTAAGAAAGAAGCCAAAGTAGGCAATGAATGAATGGAAATCCAAAACCTCTGTAAAAAAAAATAAATAAATAAAAAATAAAAAATTTAAAAAAAAAATAAAAAAAAAGAAAGAAGCCAAAGTAGATAGAATTTTAGCAATGATTCATTAATATTTCCCTTTCTTACTGCAAGTTCTAGCTCTGGAGGAAATATATTCCACTAACTAAAGAAGGAAGGTGCTGTCTGCTCTGTATTTCAAAGATGAGAACTGTTCACTTTCTTCGTTGGGTGGGTGCCACTGAGTCACCTCTGACCCACAATGAGTCTGTGTTTAATAGAATGAAACACTGTACTATCCTCACAACCCTTGTGGTGCTTACACCCAATGTTGCTGCCACTGTATCAATCAGTGTCACTGAAGAGCTTCCTCTTCTTCATTGATGCTCGGCTCTTCCCAGCATGATGAATGTTTTCTAAGGACAGGTGTCTTCTATAACATGCCCAAAATATACAAGACAAACTTTCATCACTGTTGACTCCAAGGAGCACTTTGGTTGCAGGTCCTCCAAGACAAATTTGTTTGGGTTTTTTGGCTAGCCATGGTATATTCAATAGTCTTTACCAATGCTAGCATTCAAAGGTACCACTTCTTCTTTGATCTTCCTTACTCATTGCCCAACTTTCACATACATACAAAACCACTGAACATATTATGGCTTGGGTCAGATGTAGCTTAGTCTTTAAACTGGTATCTTTGATCTATAGCACTGTAAAGAGATTTTTTTATAGAAAATTTGCTCAAATAAATACAACTTCTGATTTCTTGACTGCTGCTATCACGGGTGATGATTGTGAATGCAAGGAAATTGAATTCTTTGATAACTTCCATCTTTTTGGCTTCTGCTCTTCCAACCCACAGATAGGTAGTTCAAATCCACTAGATGCTCCTTAGGAGATAGATAGACAAACTTGTTCTGTGTGATTGACAGCCTCTGAACCCCCTAGAGGGTCAGCTCTGAGTCCGTTCGGGCTTGATGACAATGAGTTTTGAGTATACTGCTGCATGTTAGCTCTGGTGGCATAATCAATAGGGGGTTGCAGTGCAGACCCAAAGATGGCCCTTCTGTGGAGGTTCGAATCCACCAGCTGCTCCTTGGGAGAATGAGACGACTCCTCCTATGCAATTTACAGCATTCAAAACTCAGTGGACAGTGCACATTGTTAGAGCTCAGAGTTGAGGCCTTTGGCTGGCAGATGAATTCCCAAGTGTGGGGAGTCTGTTACATAATGGGCAAGTTTTTTACTAACACTACAGGTTCTTTGGACCAATGAGTAGGCTTTGACAAGAATTCTTGCCACAAGTGTAATCTAAAAACAAAACGACAACTCAGTGGAGAGTCAGCTACGAGTCTCTTGAATCAACAGTAATGAGATTTTGAGTTATATCCTACTACACTTTCATATGTCCCCACTTCATCCCTTCTCTTCCTCTTCACTAGCGATTGTCAGGTAAGGTACTCCACATGTTAGCATTTACTATTTTAATATCCATATTTGTTCATATGAATACAGTGTGAAGGGGGAAAAGAGTTTTGGCTAAGCTTTTTCCTTTTATTTCTTTTCCTTTTTTGTTATTCTTGTGTTTCTCTTGACTTTACAAGCTACAAAGTCCAGAAAAACATCAAGACAGATAATTTAGAATTTGACTCATATGGACATTAGGCCATGGGTGTGGTGTAACAATAAGCACATTGGGGTTTAGGCCTGAGCAGGGCACTGAAGCAGCAGGGCACTGAAGCAGCAGCACACAGCATTCCACGGGCACAGCTCCTTGTTCTGGCCTCACAACCAAACTATCTCAATAGTTCTCCTCACTTTCTTCTTTCATATGTTGAGCAGGAGATCAGAATGCTGGAGAAAAGTGTTGAACATAATATCATGGACTGTCAAGAGAACAAACAGGTCTGACCTGGAGAAGGTAGAATCAAGATGCGCTCTGGAGGCAAAGCTCCGTCTCACATACTTTGGGCATGTGACCAGGAAGGACAGCAGGCATGGAAGGATGGAGGGACAGCACAGGAGAGGAAGACCCCGGATGAGACTGGTTGACACAGTGACTGGTGTAATAGGGGCAGGTGTGTCAGACACAGTGAGATTGGCTCAGGACAGGACAAGGTTCAGAGCTATTGTGCAACTATGAGTTGCAAGTGACCCGATGACACATAATAACAGCTACAGAACTGTTGTAACAAATAACTACAAATGTGGTGGCAACACAAAAGCAAAAGGACCCATTTTCAACTTTTAAAATAACCACTTTCATTGAAGTTCTTCATATTTCAATATTGAACTTAAAAATCTCAAGATATGTGTACCAACAACTCTGACATTCATTAGAGCACATTAAGCTTTTATGACAAAACCCAACAATCGGTGGCAACACACTGAGGCCTTCTCAAGCTTCTTAGTATTTTCAACTTGATGAAACTCTCAAGGTTAAGGTTTTTCATAAAGAATTCAAGGGGAAGCACAATGAATCGTATCCAGTTTGTCAACAAGATGACTTTCGATGATTATTTTTTTTCAATGTTGTGGAAGAAAATGTCATTCCTAAGTTATGAAGGGACCATGTTCTCACTTACATCCTGTCTTTGTGACAAGGGCTCAAAATAGCTCTTAGGGCTTATATTTGATTGAATTCCAAGATGCACCCCCCACAGAACCATCACCTGGAGAATAGGGGTGGAGGACACATCTCCACATTCAAACCAAACCAATCTGCAGCCCTATTTTCATCAGCCTACAAGGACTGTTTTTCCTGCTCCTCTGGAAATGAAATGAAAGCAGCCCCCAGCTCTTACATGGAATGCGACCTTGGCTGTGCTCCAGCTCTTAGAAGCTGACAGCAGAAACTGCGTCGGAAGTTAGCCAGCCCCTCTGTGCTGCTGGCACAAGGTCACAGTACAAAATGCATACACTTTAAGACCAAAACAGACATGTTTCTTTAAAATGACCATGGCATGTACGTGGATTTTGGTCTCAATTCATCATTGATTTTGGCATTTTAATTAACAGTAACTGACTTTGAGTTCACTGAGGAAAGCTCGGGTCTGAAAAGCTTGAGAGGCAGGCAAGGCTATTCAGGTGAGAGTTACAGCCTAAACCCTTGGCGGTTTTTAGAAAAACCACTCACCTGGTACTTTAATTCACTCCAGTGGTGTTTGGAATGCAGATCTTCTAAAGCACTCACGTAGTTGTCTGCAAGACTAGGATAGTGCACTGGGTCCTGAAAAGTAGAACGGTTGTAGATATTCAAAATGTGTTGGAATCACTTTGGAAGGGAGGCTAAAGGAAATGTTGGCAAGCATCTCTAAAGTCGAACAATATGAAGCACTTGCCATATTCAGCACTCTGGGGACATTCGCAGCTCCCTAACCTCAAGGGTATAGAACGTAGAGGATGTATATAAAATACCTGTATCATGAAGAGCTGCCCGAGGTGGTATATCATTGACTTCCAACATCTCTATGTTTTGTAGGCTTTTTAAAAATACTAGTTTATTTACAAAAATCTAATAATTGATTCCGAGAACAGATTCTTACAATTTCCCTCATGTCCCACCCATCAAATTGTACAATTTCATGTTTCTTATGATTCTCCCTCAAACATTCCCAAAGGATTTGAGGATTTTTAAACCAAAGATACAAAAGAAGATAGAAGAGAAGTGAATAAAATGGAAAGAAAAAGAATACTTAGACCAAGAAAACAGTAGAGGGAAAGGACACCATCGCGAATGAGGATGCAAGTCTGCTCTGCATCGCCTGGCCCACCAGGAAGAAAGAAAAAGCAGAAGCTGCAGCCCTGCTCCTGCCACAGAGGAAGCAGTTCAGGTCCCCAGGAAGACCACTTCCTAGACCAAAAGGAAATAGGTCAGATTGGTCTTTACACAGGCTTTGAATGACATTCCTAATGACTATTTTCTAGAACTCAAAAAACTTAACAGCAAGTTAAGATCAACAAAGACTTTTGAAAAAGCACAAAGTTTAATTGAAGGTATACAGCTATCACGTGGAAGCTTTAACTCATATCACCTAATTTGCCAAGAAATTGCATTAACTAGGTGTCAATCAGGGAGAGGTCTGGTGGCCCATTGGGTGGGAAAGTGAGCTGCCAACCCAATGCCTATCTTCACCACCCCTGAGGTTTGGCTCTATCAGCTTTTATAGGGGAGAAAGATGAGCAATCTCCTCTCGTGTGACTTACAGCTTCTTCAAACCCACCAGCTGTGAATTGGTTCTGACTCGACAGCTATGGATATTTGAGTTTTGCTATTAATTGAGTAAGCTTACAGCTGGTCTTCCTCTTTCTCTTTTGATTGTCTGGTGACAAGTGGACTGACAAGAGGTTTCTAAGCTTGCCTTGTCAAAAATTTGATACAATCCCTTGGGTTCTCAGTTGTTCCCTTCTACAATAAGATAACATTAAGGGGTAAGATGGAACTTACACCCTTTATTTGAAAGGATCACACTAATATCTGTACCCCATGAGGAGTGTTCTTGGCTTCTAGTCTAGATTAGCCAATTGTTTGCATAGAGTTAATGGACAAATATGATTCATTTCTTTGGACCTAGGAGACAACTCAGAGGTATTTTGCTAGTTATGTACCCAACAATCTTGTAACTGTACTTTTTATCATAAGGGAGACTAGGCAAAGAGAACAGCTGGATTATTATACTAGTATTACAAATACTAAGCCATATTGAGCATGTCCTTGGGAAGTGCTAGGAAGCAGAACTAAAAAAAAAATCAAACTCCATAGGGCTGCTGAGCTGTGAATGTTAAAGGAGAAGGCTATTCCTCTTTCTCCTACAGGGCTGCTGGTGCGTCTGAACTGTGGGGTTGGCAGTGCATGCTTTGCTGTGGACCACGCCACCAGAGCTCCCTGCTAGGAACCATAATGAGCCCTTTTCTGCAATGACTCATCTTTCAAGAACAATGTGGAAGGGCCAATATCTCAAAAGTGAGAGAAATGATGGTGAATCTAGAGAAGAAAGTGAAGGCATGAAAATAATCCTCACCAAGTAGAGGAAATGTTTACTGAGAGAAAATATGTTCAAGTCTCTATACAGTCTTCTAAACAAACTTGAGAAACTGTAAGTCAGAAAACACAGAACCTAGAGGTATTAAAAACCCTTGCAACTCTGAGCTCTTCCAGCAATTTTTCCTTGAACTCCTATCCTATCAACAGTCTGATGTATGCTGAAAGCCCACAGGAATTGTGCTGCCAATCAATGCAAAGGTTTGTGGTTCAAATCCACCAGCTTCTCTCCAGAGAAAGATGGGCAGTCAACTCCTAGCTGATTTACTTCCTCTGAAAATCCACTAGAAGGTCAGCTATGAGTTGGTCCTGACTCGATGGTACACAACAACAATCTACATTCCAAAGATCTTTACATGACAGCTGTCTCCCCTTTGGGTATCACCAGGGCCCTCAGTACAGGAAAAGGCTAATACAGGGTCAGGTCCATTTACCATCGTCTTCAAAATCTGTGACACTTCCAGGTAGAACTTGAAGAGGAAGCTGACGATGAGAGTCCGCTTAAATTCCACTTTCCCACCCGGTGCCGAGCCCGGGAGGGAGACCTCGTCCAGAATCAGCCTGCAAGCCACGTCTAGCATCTCTTCATTCCAGGCCCTGTGGGAGTTAGTAGAAATGCTTAGAGATGCTTCATAGTCTCCCACAAAGAGCATCGTCCCACGGGTTCAGCCAACATGTAAGGCAAATCTCCACTGCCGTCTTGTTGATTCTGACTCATAGCAGCCTTACAGGCAGAGTAAAACGGCCTCATTGGCTCGCCAGAGCTGTAAATCTCCACAGAAGCAGACTGTCGCGTCACCCTCAGGCAGAGCAGCTATGGTTTTGACCCACTAATCTTTCAGTTGGCATGAGTGCTTAACCACAGTGCCACCAGAGCACCTTCACAAGGCAAACCACTGTCATTTAAAGCAGGAAATAGGAGCACAGGCTCTGAAGCCAGGCTTCCAATCAGCATTTCAGGTCAACTACAGGTCAGAACCAACTTGATGACTGTGAGTTTAGTTCACTGCCCTGTGAGGGCTGTGATGGTCCACCTTTGACAGGGGAGGAAATGGAGGTGCTGTCAGCTGACTGATCCCCATTATTAATAGGAATCAAATTGAAAACTGTACCCAGGAGAAGTAATTCACATTTCCATTCATCCCACTGCTTGATGGGGTTTTTTTTTTCCTCTGGAGAAGGTAAGTGTCCAAGAAGTAAGACCTATTAGTACCAACTGCAGGGGGCTCTGGTGGCCTGTTCAGTAGGGAGTTTCGCTGCCAACCCAAAGGCAGGTAGTTTGAATCTGCCAACTGTTTCCAGGGAGGAAGATGGACAACTTCCTTCTGTGGGATTTACAGCCTCTGACAACCTGCTGGACGGTTGCCTATAAATCATTTCCAACTTGACAGCAATGAAGGTTTTGTTGAGGGGTTTTAGATCATCTACAAGTGTAACAAGTGAGTTAAAGTAATGTATACAGCAGTTTATTACAGAATAAATCTACATAATCTATTTTATGTCACAGTAAAGTATGACCCTCCCACAACAAAGGATGCAATCTGTACTGTGCACTACTGGAAGATGGCTGTTCCCACTTAACACACACATTATATACTACCCACCTTAAAATTCACTAGTCTCAAGACATATGGAAATACACATAATCAGGAAATGGTATTGGAAATCTACACCATTAGAAAGAAAGGAATTGCTTTCCTTTTGGAGTTACATCTCACCACAAAAAAAAAAACAAAACGCTGCCCCGCTACCTGTTGTCTTGAGGACACGACGTCATACCTTCCAATGAGCCTCTGGCAGGAGCTGCGTGCACAGATGATGGTTGGACCAACGCCGCCGTAGGCAATGGCCAGCTCTCTAATGACACCTTTCCTTTGTCCAAAAAAGACTCTCATCCCCGAATTGACTATCGCTAGGGCATTCTGCTGTCGCTGTGCTTGTCGAAAGGCAGATACGAATTCCCTCTGAAAGCAAAAGGTAGGGCCGTGTGTAGACAGAACTGAGTGCCCAGAGTGCACAAGGCTTCACCTGACCTCCTCACACCCACCGTCACAGCCTGACTATTCTCATTTTACAGAGAGGAGTGGTTCGGTCAGTGGTCCAAAGTCATGGTAGGTCTTGAAATAAAAATTTTGCTTGATTTTTTTAACCTTTTTCTAAAACTCCAGAATATATGCAGAGATTTTTTTTAAATCTTATTTTAAAGGATTTATGAGATAAAATTTTAAAAATTCCTTAGAAAGTAACGTTAGAGTTAGAAAAAAGGGGAGTAGAGAAAGTGAGGGATAGAGAAAAAGAGTGGTAAAGAAGTCTCTTGACTCTAGAAGTAACAAAAGGAAATGCAACTATTCATTTTCACATTTCCTCTTAAAATAATGTCCCTGAACTATTTCCCAAGGCTAAGCTCTTCTCTTCCCAATCCGCATGCAGCACCCTTCCTTAACTCACCATGTGTTAGATTAACCAAACTGGAGACTTCCAGGTAAAACCAGGGAATTGAAAGAAGGGCATTCTCACCTTCCTCGAATAAGGGATGGTCACTGAGATCAAGATTTCTTCGGGCTTAAGATCTGCCTGGGAGCATTTTTTTAGAAACTCATCATTCAGAGGAATCTGCCGTTTTCCTCCTGTGCAAAGAAATCATGGTTTCCCTGGAATCAATTCTTTCTAAACTCTGCATACCTATAGGAAATACAAGATACCTGAAAAAACTGACTTGTATGGGAGAAGTACCCTATGATGCCTCTCCCAACGTGTTTTCAAAAAAAGGTCGTACTTCCTTACTCCTTCCTTTGATTGCTTAGGAAGAAAACCATCTAGGTGAGTAACCTGGAGTTTCAGGTTAGCCATCCCCTTTCTAAGCATCACAGTTCATTTGGAACCTTACAATTAGAGAGAAGATATTAATATTTCTATCCCTCAAAGCACTGAAGAGCAACAATGTCAGTCTGGAGACTAAAGTGCACCTGCTTCAGGCCATACTCTTTGCAATTAATTGTTATGCATCAGAAAGCTGCACAATGACTAGGGAGGATAGAAGGAGAATTGATGCCTTTGAGCTGTGGTGCTGGAAAAGAGTATTGAATATACTGTGGACTTCTAGGAGAACAAACAGGTTCATCCTAGAGAGGTTGAACCCAGGGTGCTCCTTGAAGGCAAGAATTCTGAAGCTTCATCTTACATACTTTGGACATGTTACAAGGAGGGACCTACTCACCCTTAGGGAGGAACGTCATGCTTGGGAGTATGCAGGGAGAGAGCAAGAGAGGAAGGCCCTCAATGAAATGGATTGATTCAGTGACAGGGGAAAAAGGGGTAGGTGTGCCAGAGACAGTGAGATTGGCACAGGATAGAGCAGGTTTTAGGGCTGTTGTACATAGAGTTGCTATGAGTCGCAGGCGACTCGACAGCACATAAGAACAATAACAACATCCTTCAATGATAAGTATTGACATAGAGACTGGAACAATGGACTTAAGCACAGCAGAGAACGTGTGGATGTCAGAGGTTTGGGCAGGGTTTAGTTCTGTTGTACATAGTGTTGCTATGAGCTGGAGAGTTGGAGCTGACTCAGGAATACCTCACGGCACCACTGATACATTGATTAAACCATTCAACAAACATGTATTGTTCATAGCCAGGAGCCCTAGTAGGTACCAGGAACACAGGGGCAAGCAAACAATACACCTTTATAGAGGCTGTATATTGTTGCTTTCTGTTGAGTTGGAATTGACTCATGCTGACCCTTCCTCTAGCAGGTTTTCAGAGTTTGTGTATCCTAAAATATTCTGGTAGCTTAGCGGTAAGGAATTGAGCCAGCGATATAAATACAATCCACCAGCTGCTCTGCAGGAAAAGGATGGGCAATCTCCCGCGTGTGAAAACCTGCTGGAGGCTCAGCTATACATTGCTTCCAACTTGACTGCACATAACACTATACAAATAAGAGTCTGTATTAGTTTATTTATTTCAGCTCCTAAAGCACTTCAACTCTTTAATCAATATACTGGGGAAAATACAGGTTAAAGCTCTAACAAAATATAATTTGGGAAGAGAGAGAAAAATATTTTACTTCGATGTTGTTGTTATGTAACATCAAGTTGAAACTGACCCATAGCTCACCCCCAGGCAGGTTTTCAGAGGCAGTAAATCATACCTGTTTCTAACTGTACAAGCTTTTAAAGGGACATTTAAAAACTTGGAATGCAAACCTTCCTATCCGTAACAATTGTGTGACCTAGATGATTTGAGGAGTAGGTAGTTAACAATTCAGGTCACAGATATTGGATCTATATTTTCAAAAGGCAAACAAATTTTTTTTTCTTAAGGAAAGATTAGTTAGAACTTTCTAACTATTGCTGAACAAGCAGAAAGAGAAAGATAAATTTAAAAGTCTGGACTTAGTTTAAAAACATTAATATATATTATTGTATATATACATGTTACTGTTGCTGTTATAGGGAGCTCTAGCGGCTTAGTGGTAAGTCACACTGGCAACCCAGAGGCAGGTGGTTCAAATCTACCAGCTGCTACCTGGGAGAAAGATGAGTACTCTCATGTGTGATTTACAGGTTTTGAAAACACACTGGTGGGCCAGTTATGAATCCAGTTCTAACTCAGAGGTACATAACAATATTAAAATTGAATAAATAAATACAGAATGAAATGCAGCCATTGTTTGAAGGAGAAAGAAGCTGATTGTGAGGTCTTATGGGGACAAAGCTGGATATGACTCCTTGGGGTGGTGAGGAAAGCCTCTCGTAACATCCCTGAGGAAAACAAGGAACGCCTTGTAAGCACATCTGTGCTGCTCTTTCCATGAACTTTGTAAAAAAAGTACATGGCTTTCCTTTTAAGGAAACCTAAATAGCAACACAAGCTGCTCATATTGTGAGAACTGTATCAACATTTAGCTATCTGGTATGACCTTGGTGCTTCGTTTAATGCTGCAGGTGTTTTTGAGACTGAGAAGACCTTCAGAGCATGTTGAAAAGAATAATTAACTAGTTCATCTCTCCTGAGAAGCAAAGCCCTCGTTGCCCACTTTTAGCTCTGTCTTCACTTTGCGACTCTGCTCACAGTTGATAGGCTCCTATGAATAATTATGAGCCCAAAGCATGATGTGGGTGTCAGAATACTATCAAGAGACTGTCTTGAACAAAAGGATTCAAGAATCCTCAATAATGAGTAGTAGCCTCCATGACTTAGGTCATGTCTATAAACTAACCTACACAAGTCTGGTCCACATAAACTGACCAGCACAGGAAAATAGCTTGTACAAGGTCACACAAAGAAAAACAGGAAGAAATAATGAGTGTGTGGAATTAGGCCCGATCTGACCAGCTTTACCAGGAGCCAAAAAAGGCAAAGAGAATTCTTGGTATTCGAGAGAAGAGGCAATTTCAAGGTTGTACTACCTGTAACCTGCCAGAGTGAGGAAAAATGATAGGAAAGCAGGAGTAGCAATCTCCAAGTGGGAGCTGGTCCTTACCTTTCGACAGCAAGTTGAGAGTAGAGTTGCCCACAGCCAGGAGAGGATTCAGATCTGAGTCTAGATGTCGGCTCACGATGTGGCCTCCTAAAGACTTTTAAAAATGATGAGTGGAAATCATTCCTTTTCATTTCAGTAACTTCATTATCAAAGAGCGCTGGTGGCAAAATGGTTACACGTTCAGTTGCTAACTAAAAGGTCAAAGCCATTGCTCAGGAGAGCAGGCTTAGTGATCCACCTCCATAAAGATTAAATCCCAAAGCCAAACCCACTGCTGTGGATCTTTATGGAGGAGAGTTTCCATTTTTCTCCCAGGGAGCAGCTGGTGGATTTGAACCAACTACCTTCCCATCAGGAACCAGGGTTCCTTAAATATTGGAGAGGATGTGGAGAGATAGGAACTCTTATACACTGTTGGTGGGATTGTAAAATGATACAAGCACTCTGGAAGGCAGTTTGACCTTACCTCAGAAAGCTGAACATAGAAATTTCTTACGACCCTGCTATTCCACTGCTTAGAATATACTCCGAGAAAATGAGAACTGAGGCATAAACGGAGACTTGTACACCAATGTTCATGGCAGTGTTATTCACTATCACAAGAATATGGAAACAGCCCAGATGTCCAACCACAGTCAAATGGATTGAGAAATTATGATCATTCACACGATGGGATACTATGCAGCATGCAATAGCAATGATTTGTGTAAATCACTACCTAAGTTGGGAGGGACTGGAGAGTATTAAGCTAAGTGAACTAACTCCGTCCCATAGGACAAATACTGTATAAAATCATTACTGTAGAATGTGCATGAGGATCCAAGGTAGAGGGTAGGAGCAGAGTGCTGAGGATGGTGGAGGGGGTTAATCATAGGGCCATGCAATTGATGGGTGGAGGGAAGGGTGGGTAAAGGAAATGAGAAAGACACGTGTGAAAAACAATGTATACAAACATTGTAAGTAAAACACTGTAAAATAAAAATTATATATATTAAAAAATAACAGCCAAAAATAAGGATGAATCTAGAACATGCTAAATGACAAGTCAGTCACAAAAGGATAATTATGCTATAAGATCACAATTACAGAAAGTTGAGGAAAGGTTGACACATGCATTGAATCATTCTTGAAGGGCTAACGGGAATGGGAAAGGAGGAAGAGGGGAGGAAAAATTGAGAAATAGGTAAGCTGGGTGAAGGGAAAGGCAAAATGCAGTGAGAGAGCAACTAGACATCGTAACTAATCACATTCATCAAGACAATTCAAGTCATAAAACAAAATGAATGAATGAATGCAAAACCAGAATGAATTGTAAACTTTCACTCAAATAAAAAATACATTTTTTTTAAAAAAAGTATCAGCCTAAAAAAAAAAAAAGAGTACCAGCCTAGAAAACCTTCTGGGGCAGTTCAACACTGTCACATGGGATCAAACATCAACCCCAAGGCCCTTCACAATACAACAAAGCAATGTAATTACCCAAACAAAAACGTTAATAACATAAGTGTCAGGACATTATTCTTTTTGTTCCAAAAGAATGACAATGTGTTCATTTAATAGGAACAATCACCCAAGGCACACCCCCTGAGAATTTACTGTCACCAAATACACACCGCCATGTTTCTGATCTGGGACCCAGCCAGAGTTCCCAAATGCTTCCAGAGAGCCCGGTATGTCTGCGTCTTCTCCTCTGGAAACTTCTGGATCACATCGGCCAGGACATCCTTCACTTGAGCCAGACTGAGGCCGGCACCTAAGGTCAGCCCTGAAATGATTTACAAGTAACATAATGTGATCACTGTTGTTGTTGTTTTGTGTACTATTGAGTCAGAACCGCCCCATAGCTGACCCTGCGGTGGGTTTTCAGAGGCAGTTAATCACAAGGGAGGAGATGGCCCATCTTTCTCCCATGCAGCAGCTAGTGGATTCAAACTCTGTGCCTTTGGGATGGCAACATAGCTTCTTACCACTAGGCCACAAGATCTCTGTGTGATCACTACTGACCTAGAAATGTGCTTTCATCAAACTTGCAAGTGTGAAATCTTTAGACTGGATACCACGCTGCCTTGCTTATAGGTGGTTATGATGAAGACAGAGGTTATAGTCTTTTCACACTCGCTGTACCAAGGACTATGTTAAGTGTCTTAGTGAATTTTCTTGACTCCTCACATACCTGCAGGATATTAATTAGTTCTATTTCATAGATAAAAAAACTGAGATCCAGCTAAGTAATTTACCTAATTTCCTACAGCTATATTACGGCACAGTCAAGGATCGTATTCTACTTTTTGTATGGGAATGACGTTGACAAGAGCAGTGGAAAAGAGCAAATTTCTGTTCATGGAGAAGGGACAACTCAGAAAAGGAGGAGGGGGACGGCTGCAGAGCTTGAAGACTGCAATCAGTTTTACTATTCAGCATATGCAGAAACTAAGTGGGGTGTGTTTTGCTGTCTAGAGTCTTAATAATAACAATGTAAACAAAAAGAAAACAAAAAGACTATATAGACCATACACTACAAACCCACATTTCCACCGGCTCACATGGCCACTAGAACTATTTCCCTTGCAAATGGAGAAGTCAGTCTGTAAGCAGCTTATTACAGATATGCCTTACTTTACTACTTTGTTTGTGGGAAGCACAGAATGTTCTATTCATTTCTATTTTCCATTTGACATTTAACACAGTACAGTCCTTCAAGAACTGCAACATTAACTTTGCAACTACAATACTTTCTTCAGTGAAAATCTAGCTATTTGGACAATTAGTATCTATTTTAACATTAGAGAATTCTCCCTCAAGCCTCCTTCCAGTATGATATCATTCTCATAATGAGAACATCTCTCTGTATATTCTAATTAGGAATGGTTCTTTTTCTGCTTGTCAGCTGGGTAAGGGAATAAATTGATCAGTACATTTTAACTTAGAAGACAGTAACCTTAAGAACTTACCATTATCTGTATGTTTTATAATACTCAGTTCTTCAATTCTATCTGGAGAAATAATAATTGGGTGGAAGACACCTTTAAATTTCACTTCAGGTCCTAAGGGATTAGGAGAGGGGAAAAATAATAAGTCTAGGATAAAAGAGGGTGTACTGCCTTTAAAAAACATCCAACTTTCTTTTTTTTAGGAGTGGTTTTAGGCTTTTTCTATTAAAATAGACAGGAAGTACAACGTTTCCATATACTTCTCGTTTCTTTACATATTCTTTCTCCTATAGTTAATATCTTGAATTCCTCTGACGCTGGATGAATTAATACTGATGCTATTGTTATTAACTAAAGTCCATATTTTAAATTATGGTTCACTCTTTGGTGGTGTTCTTTCCTATGGGTTTTGACAACTCAAAATGTCATGTGTCCACCATTACATTATCATACAGACTAGATCCAATGCCCTTAGAAATGTCCCCTTTTCCACCTCTTTGTCCCCTTGCCCCTGAATCCCTGGCAACCACTCTCTTGTTTTGCCTTTTCCAGAATGTCATATAGATGGCATTACAACAGTCTGAAGCATTTTTTCAGACTGCTTTTTGTCACTTAAAAATATGCATTTAAGGTTCTTCAATGAACTTTTGTACCTCATTTCTTTTCGTCACTGAATAATACTCCATTGTGGCATGAATATGCTACAGTTTATTCATTCACCTATCTAATAACATCTTGGTTGCTTCTAACATTTGCATTATGTATAAAGTGGCTACAAACATTTGTATGCTGCTTTTTATAAGGACATAAGACTTTCTCTCCCCGCCCCCTTAGAGGGAGAGAGTGAGGGCAGGGAGGGGAGAGTCAAGGGAATGTGGACAGAAACCGAGAAGGAGGGAGGTGGAGAAGAAGTGATGGGAGGAGATGGGACAAGGAGGAGAAGGAAGAGCAGAGAAAGGGGGGGGGAAGAGAAGAAGTGGGCGGAGCACGCCAGGGAAGCACATAGAGAGGCGCCCACTGGGGCAGGAGAGGGACCACGAGCTGGCCATACATAATGTGCTTTGGGTTTGGTGTTTGTTTTTTTTTTTTTAATTGGTTTGCTTACAAAATTTGTCTACACTGTGTTTCATACTAGTCTTCTTCATATTGTGTTTTATACAATCCTTCTCTTGCATTATGTTTTTAAAAGTAATCACTAGTGGACCTTTGCCATCATTACCCTGTCTTTTTACCTGGATCCTTCCCCATTCCTTTTCCTCCTCCCTTCACCCATCAAACTGTGGACATAACGTTTTAATTCATGTTGGTAAATACCGAAGAATGAACTTGTTGGATCCTATGGTAAGCCCATGTTTACTTTTGTAAGAAACTGCCAGATAATTCTCCAACACAGCTATACTATTTGCATTTTCACCAGGAATGAACGAGAATCCTTACTGTTCTACATCCTTGCCAACATTGGACTTTAGCGATTTAATAGATATTTAATGGCATTTCATTATCATCTTAATTTCTAAATCCCTAATTATATACGATGCCAAGTATCTTTTCACACATTTATTTGCCACCTTTTAAACTTTTTTGCTGAGATATCTGTTCAGCATAACTGCATTTTTTTTCAACAGGTTTGAAAAATTTTACATTATGTTATATTAAGTTATGCTTGGTTTGTTATAAGCCAGCTTTGCACCATGCTCAATAATGTCTAAGCTACATAAAATAACCATTATGAAAACCATGTGGTTGACCCAACCTTTCTCCTGTTATAAGTTCAAGTGTATTAAGGCTTGGAGGGGTCTGCATGCGCCACCATGTAATTGCCTATTTTCAAATGGTATTTTTATTGTTGAGTTTTAAGTGTTTTTTATATACTTTAGACACTAGTTCTTTATCAGAGATATCATTTGCAAATATTTTTCTCTCAATCTGTAGCTTGCCTTTTTAATCTCTTACTTTAATGCCTTTTTAAATTTGATATTGTTATTTAATCTGAAGTCTTTAAATACTTGACATTTATGTATCTTTTTATTGCAGTCTGTTTACTGGCAGATTCTCTCTCTCATATTTGCACACACATGCTCACACTCACAGGGGTCGGGGAGAAAGTATGGTTGAATAAATTGTATTGAAAGACTCTGGAATTGTCAGGCTTAAAGCTTGGACTACATGGGGTAGTAAAGTTTTCTGGGATAAACTGTGAGACTTTTTTCTCAAAGAGGACAGAGGTCATACTGAGCTTAACAGGTACAACAGACAGACTCTGTAACTGCATATTAAGAAGGAAAGAATTCCAATGCCTTTTGAGATATCACAGAGGCACATCAAAGAGCAGTCCCAAACACATGCCTACGATCAAGTTCCAAATCAATCAGAGGGCTTTTACAGTACCTGTTGCTGCAGACTAACGACAGTGTGGCTCTCAAATCTGTGTACTGCCCCAGTGAGGGGCAACAAGGATTGATTGATTTTATTGACTTTAAAAGTGTCTAGTAGACTTCAAATGCTATCGCAGGCTGCTTTCCTGAGAACTTCCACAGGCGTAGTTCCCACGCCGAATAGCCCTCCCCTCCCTCAGTTTTCCCCTAGAACACTCTGGGCTGACTTACCCACAGAGGTGTTCCCCATCACAATGGGAGCTTGAGGATGCTGGTCCTTCACGTCCAGAAGCTCCTTCAGGGTCACTGGGGAAATCCAGGTCATTCTCTCTCCACCAAAAACTCTGGTCTTTTGTGGTTGTTTCTCAGCTAATATCTATTTAAAAAGCAGTAGGGATCCAGGATGACTTTATGACCCTTTCATCTGTCCTACTCTATCATTGCAAAAGTTGTTTTATACTGTTAGGTTGGTTCCAACTCAAAGTGACACAAGACTGTCCTGGGGACTTTCCTACACCATAATCTTCATTGAAGCAAATCACATCTTTTCTCCTGGGGAGGGCGAATGGGTTTGAACCACCCACCTTCTGGTTATCAGCCTATGGCATAACCACTGAGTTAACCAGGGCTCCTCTGTATAAGCTGATATTCTATGTATGGTCTCTGTAGGTCATAGTCTCATGGCACCTAACACATACACAAACACATACACACATACTCCTTCTGAGGACTCTTCCCATCAGTCTCTCTTTGGAATGGTTATATATCAAAGGAATCCAAATATTCTCTTAATTTTACTCATTTTGTCAAATTAGTCAATAGAATAATAAGCTTCAACAAAACTGAAAGCAGAAAACATGCTGACATCTACAAATGGTGTGACATCACCTGAGGGGTTTTTAAATAGTAATCAACAGTTGCTTATACGGTCAACTCAACAAGTCCCTTGTCTTGACTGTACTCTCATTTTCCTACACCCACCTCAGTCTTCATACTCTTTAGACAATGGATTAAGTAAACAGATGTTACCTATTTCTCAATCAGCTTTTGAGAGCGTTCACAAATAAATACCCTTCCAGACATTTCACGATCGTTTCCTCAGGCAAGTCCCACGATGCCATGCTTACCATTAGCTCAGGAGGAAAGATCAGTTCCTGAGTGGGATCCAGTGGCAGAAACTCCTCTTCTGAGAAGAGTTTTAGGCTTTCCTTAGAAAGAGATGATTTAAGAATTCAATATAAAAGCAAATCAGCAAAACACTCCACTGTCCCGCCTCATTCCTGGTCTCTTAAGGTCTCTAACACAGATCTAGTCACTAGCAGCTCCATGCAGATGTCAATGGGCCACCAAAGCTTATGAAACTCCTTGCATATTTTTTTTCTGGAGTCTAGAGACAGCTGAGGAGCAGGCAGCAGCAAGTAATAGAGCTGAACACAGAACTTTTTCTGGAATTTCTACCTCCCCTTTTACTGCACTGTCTCTCCACCTCATCACAGTCCTTTGCCTACTTTTCCTTCTCCCTAATATTTCCACTTAACCCCAATCCTTTAAAAAGTATTTGGAAAAGCTTTTTAAAATGAAGACTCAGAAGGTATCAAAGTACTTTCTCTCCCATAGATTATTGTATTTGAACAAGAGTGATATCTGGAATAAAAGAAGAATTTCTAGGGTAGATTCTTTTTTTTTTTTTTTTTAGGGTAGATTCTTAACATTACTGTTGCTGAAAGAAATGAAAGAAGAATGGAGGAGTCTCAAATTAGCCACTTTTTCTTCCTAAAAGTCTGCCAACTGTTGTGACAGAACCTTTTTTTTAAAAAAAATTTTACTTTTCACTGACCTTACTTTCTTCTTCAAGTTCAGGCAACCCATTTGTTGCTTGATCCAAACAGCAAACTCCATTTTCCTTAATTTGACAGCAGTCAGTAGTCTAATGGGCGAAAAACATTACTGAGAATTTATTGCTAAGTTCAGTAAGTGTTAAACAAAATAACTGACTGCTGGTTGAAACAGCGTACAAGATCAATATTGCTAGATGTCGTGAAAGACAGCCAATTTTATTTAAATATACCCAAACTAACATCTAATAAAAGAATGAGAACTTGTCAGACATTTTTAATGGCATGGATGGATTATTAAATAAGCTAAAATATGGAAAGCTCTTAAAATAGATCCTCACAGACAACTAATATTAAACAAAACACTCATTAATTGCCAGTATTAATATTATGTCTAGTGGCCCAGTGGTGTGGAATTGTCAACCTAAAGGCACACATTTCGAATCTGCCAGCTGCTCCATGAGCAAAAGATAGGCAATCAGTTCCTACGCAATTTACTGTCTCTGAAAACCCATTGACGAGTCAGCTATGAATATCCACCTTAACAGTAGACAAAAACAACAACAGTATTTAAAATAAGGGAGCCCTGGTGGCATATTCTGTAGGGAGTTGTGCCGCTAACCCAAAGGTATTTCTCCAGAAATTCAACTCCAGCAGATGCTCTCAGGGAGAAAGATGGGCAATCTCCTTCTGTGTGATGTACAACCTTTGAAAACTCTTTGGAGCATCAATTATGTGTTGGTTCTGACTGGATGGCAATGAGTTTGAGGGTGAAAATATTTAAAAGTATTTTAGGTGGCTTAGTGGTAAGAAGCTGTGCTGCAATCCCAAAGGCATGTGGTTCTAGTCTGCCAGTAGCTTCATGTGAGAAGGATGGACAATCTCCTTCCATGTGATTACTGCCTCTGAAAACCCGATGGAGGGTCAGCTATGGGTCAGTTCCAACTCAGTGGTACCCAACAACAATAAATAAATATTTGCAATGTATTTTAACAAATATTAATATTTTCATTACCTTGGACTCATAATGTTTTTATCTCACAGTCTAATTTACAAAGGACATTCTTACATCCTTTATTTATAGTTCATGCATTCATTCATTCCACAAATATCTACTACATTTAACTAATTGATATTCAATTAATGCATGGTTACCAACACTGGAGGTACACAGACTCTGCTGTCAAATAGCCCATTGTCTGCTGAAGAGTCAGAGGTACAAATACACAACTGAACCACAATAAGACAGGCATCACAAAGGGGCATGCACTCAGGACCCCCGGAGCACCAGGGAAACCAGGGAAGATACTCCACCCAGGTGAATAGATTAGGAAAGATGAGAAGCAATGACCAAGGTCAAACACCTTAGGTGACCAGTATGTGACTATCAAGGTGAGTTCAATGGGTGAGGCTAAGCAACCTCCCCAAGACTAATTAGGCAGACCTTGTCATTCATTCATTATTAGTAACAATGGTTACTTCCCTCATCACACCTGACACATGCATGGTTTTGTTACATCGGGGAAAAATAGTAAATAATTAGCTCCTTTCAACTCACTTTACAAAAAGTCCTGCAAGCGTCTATGATGGGCCTGTATCCAGTGCAACGACACAGGTTACCTGAGGGGAGAAAACAGAACTCTGTTAATAACAGAATCTGGAGGGAGGCAAGTCTGCCAAAGAAAGGATGGGAAGAAGGGCTCGGTCCTCGAAGGCAGCCCTATTGACAGTTCAGCCCACCTTAGCTACACACCCCAATTTTTCTATCTGCCACTTGGGATATTGAGTTGAGCAACTGATGCAGGGTCTAGCAACTCAGCTCCTTGTACTTTTCTCTGTAATCAGTTTCTACATCCTCTGTGACAGAGGTTCAGGGAGTACAATGATTTCAAGCCCAAAGCTCTTGGCCCATAGTCAGTCAACTAAGTTTCAATTGACAGAAAGATCAAAGATAGAATACATAGCAAAACAAGTTGATGATAAAAACCTAGTTACCATTAAGTCAATTCCAATTCAAGATCTTAATTGTGCTCTGTAGAGTTTACCATGGCTATTTTTTCCCCCAGAAGCAGGTCACCACACTATCCTTTCAGGATGCTTCTGGATGGTCTTATCGTTAGCAGACAAACATGTTAACCATTTGTACCACCCAGGAACTCCATGACACGTGATAGATATCTGATAGTAGCTGTCATCATCATCATCATGATTTTGAAATAAAAGCACACACATGTAACCTACCACCAAGAGCATCGGTCAGCTGTTCCATAGAGGGCTCTGGGTGATTTCTCAACAAGGTGTACATGGACATCACCATGCCCGGGGTGCAGAATCCACACTGGGTACCGTGACACTTGGCAATCCTCTCCTGGAAGCATGGAGAGGTTAGAAAGACAGAAGCTTGGGATCCTTCTCAGACTTACTCACTTAAGAGCCTGCATTTTGTCAAGCTACACAGGGGATGTGTATGCTCATTCAAGTCTAAAGCGGCAGCCCCAGAGAGCCCCCTCATCGTGGACACCTCCCCTTTACTGGGATGAATTGTCATGATAACTGGGCCTCACTAGGATGTGTGCCTCATTTAAGGCAGTGGTTTTCTGTTTTTAGAATCCTCTTGGGAGGTTACCTCCAAGAGTCATGCTAACCTCCAAACCAACTAACTTAGAAGCTCTGAGGATGGGGCACAAACATACATTTTTAAAGATCCCCAGGTAGTTCCAGTGTCAAGTCAGGGTAGAGAATCACTAAGAAGGTCTTAGAAAAAAAATTTATCAAATGACACTGAGCTTGAGAAATGAGATAAACAAACTAAAAGTCTCAAAGCATTTCTTGAATTCTTAATACTCGGCTGCTTAGATATTGGTGGTTGGAACCCATCTAACGGCTCTGCGGGAGAAAGACTTGGCTATTGGCTGTATAGATTCCAACCCAGAAAGCTCCATGGGCAATTCTACTTGGTTGTGTGGGGTCACAATCGATTGAAAATCAACTCCACAGCACCTAACAACAATAATAATTACAGTTCTATGCTTTTTTTCATAGGAGTTTTTAAAATGTCATTGTAAATCCAGACACCAGCAAGAAGGACCTATTCTCTCTCTCTCTCTCTCTCTCTCTCTCTCTCTCTCTCTTTCATTATTTTCCCTCTCTCTGCCTAGCAATACTCAGATTTATAATGGGCAACTCATTTTAGAAGCTGTCTTCTGGCTACACTGTAACAAGAGCTGTCACCAGCCAGTAAATGAAGGAGTGTTTGTATGTCTGTGGATGGCAAAGACTCACAGAGAATACTCGGGCAGAATTCTCTTTCTCTAAATAATAAGGTTTCACAAAAATAAATGGACCCCAAGGTTCCATTAAGTCTAGAGAATTTAAAATTTGGCCATTTTCTACGTTGTTCCAACCACTTCCTTCTTCCACTTTCTCTTCATAAGTGACTCTCATTAACGTCCATAAAACCCAGAATAGCATCTTCATAGGCACTGCACAAGTAATTTAAAAAGTCAGAAGTCTGAAGGTACCATTTCACTTGAGGCAAAAGCTCTAACAAGACGCTACCCTAAGAGACGAGCTTTAAAAATCGACAGCTCCACATGGTTCAAATCCACCAGATGCTCTGCCAGGAAAAGGAGGGACAATCTCCTCCTGTACCAGTCAGATCTGATTTGACGGTACACTCACACAAAAATTTAAAAAAAAAAATCAACAGCTCCTTGTATCTGTCTTCCGAACAAGTCATAAAGTTAAATGTTTTTGGTAGCTGAGATTTCTACTCAGCTTTAAAATCATATTATTTCCTCCTTTTAAAAATTGCAAACCAGCTCTATCCTTCAAATGCACATGGATCCCCTTTCTTTATGCATGTGGAAGGGATTTTAGGGGGGGAAACCCAAAAATTATAATGGAATTTTAAGTCCTCTCGTTGGATGGATGCAGCCATTGGCCAGGAAAGGTTGTGAAGAACTAACATCTGCAGGTTAGGACTAAGTTTTGAAATGCTATTAAGAGTATTGCTATGAGCTGTAGTGGACTCAACAGCACCTAATAAACTAGTGAGTCTTGTGTGGTGCAAACAGTTCAGCATTTGACAATGAGCTGAAACATTGACAGTTCAAATCTATCCAGAGGCATGCTGGACAAACAGGTTTGTTCCCCAAAAGGTGTTTCTCAGATTTGCTTCCAAAGAGTCTACTGGAAAAAAACAATACCCAAAAATACAAATCAAAAAATCCAACCAATCACAACAATCGAGTTGGTTTAGATTCATTGCAGCCCTACAGAATAGAACAAAATTGCTCCACAAAGTTTCCAAGGCTGTAAATCTCAATGGGAACAGGCTGCCACATCTTCCTGACAAGGAGCAGCTCAAACCACTGACGTTTCAGTTAGCAGTTCAACACTTAACCCACCCATGCCATGCCACCAGGGGACCACTTCAGAAAGCCCGTGGGGCAAGTCCACTCTGCACACACACAGTCACTGTGAGGAACCAGCTTAATGGCAGCTTGCAATGGTCGTGAAAGCATCATTCCTAGAAGTCACTCCAAGAAGTCAGACACAGAACTTGCTCATGTCCCTCGTTTCACACTCCTGGGCCCAGCACAGCCAGCAGGCAGCACACCCAGAATGCTTGAGTAAGCACCCTCAGGAACTCACAATGGCAGACATGGTTTCTGAATAAGCGGAAGCTCAATGAGGGAGAAACTAATCTCACCTGTACAGGATGAAGCCTGGTGCTGGTGCTTCCTATGCCTTCCACTGTGGTGACAGCAGCACCATACAGCGAGCATATGGGGATCAGACAGGCGTTGGCTGGATAATGTCTTCAGAAGGCAAAACAGAAGCACACATTGCATTGTATCCAGTGGCATTCAGTTGAAAAGAGAACAAACGTTCACTGAGCACCTACAATGTGGCAGGTTTATATAATTCCTCCAGACTTTGCATATGCATTTAGTTCTTAGCGTGAGCCCATTTTACAGAAGTGCACGCATAAAGAAGTGCTGTTGTTTTCAACTCAACAAGAAGAAGTTGAGAGTTTATTGAAGATCTTCCTCTTTTTCATGGACACTCACTTTTCCAAACATTATGTCTTTTTCTAGGGGCTGGCCCCTCCTAATGACATGCCCAAAATATGTGAGATGAAATTTCACCATCCTCAACTCTAAGAAGCATTCTAATTTCACTTCCTTCAAGATAGACCTGCTTGTTCCTAACTTATCAGATGCTGAAGATATGATGGAACCAAGATAAATTAAACTCCATGAAGTAACAACCTTCAAGAATAAAACTATAAAAAAAAAAGAATAAAACTATGGTCATTCTTGACTGAAACAGAGGAGAATGGACAAATTTGTTCAAAAGTGGGATAAAGAGAAACAAGTTTGTCAACAAACTTTTTATTGTTGCATGTGGGTTCATGTGACAGGTTAAAATATAGTTCAGGACTGAATTATATCCTAACTCTTCCGCACCAGTATTTACTAAGGGTGGGGAGTAGTGCCCTCAAAGCGTGAAAAGGAAGTACAGCTCTCCAGGAACTTGTCCTTTCATAAAAGGAAAATCAGAAGAAGAAAGGAAAAGTGAGATAGCATCTGAGGCACGTCACATTTCACAAAGTGGAGGGTGTTTGTCACACTTCATAGATGAAAGGCAGGATGGCTGAAAGAGACCTCTCAATGCGTGAAAAGTCAGATAACCAAACAACAGGAACTCCACAGTGACAGAAAAAGCTGATATTCAGAGTGTAAAGCAGGGAAGGATATATCAGAGTTCAGAAAGTAGGTGGCCTGACTGTGGAACACAGATCTCTGAAACTCAGCAATGCTCAGATCCTTAGCCTTCATCTGAGATCTGTGAATGATATAAAACGGTCTAACACATACAAAATTGGAGTCCCATAGCAGTGTGTATGTGTGTGGCTGAAAATACATATCTGAAGAAATAATGACTTGAAAAGTTTCCAAAGCTAATAAAAGACATCAACCTCTAGATTCATGAAGCTCAACAAACCTGAAGGATACGAACTAAGCATTAAGTGAGAATTGTAAATACCATGTAAAGTCAATTGTTGGTTATAAAGAGAATTATGCTATCTGATTTATACTTGAAATAAATTTCTTTGGAGAATGAATGTATGGGCAAAAGTGAAAGCAAGGAGATCAATTAGTAAGTTATAATAATAGAATTAAAGTTCTGGTAGCTGAGCGGTAAGAATCTGCACTGCAATCCTGAAAGCACGCAGTTCAAATCTTCCAACTGATCCACGGGAGAAGGATAAGCGATCATCTCCCATGTGATTGCTGCCTCTGAAAGTCCACTGGGGGTTCAGCTATGGCATGGTTCTGACTTGATACACAACCATGTACACAACAACAACAATTAAAAAATTGCATGATGAAGGCATTACCCTACCTTTCTGCTTCAGGCAGCACAGAAAGACAATGCATCTTTCCAGTTTTCAACAGGAGATACCTTGGCTACAAGCATCCTTGTTGATAAAGCATTTTTTTCTAAGTCATTTGTATTCCTTGGATCTGGGTTGTCTTGTATTCCCAGTATCTAGCACACTCCTGCTACATTGTAGATGCTCAATTTAAAACTACAAAAATTCAACCAGAGTTAGAAGTTGCTGCAAAATACCGTATCTTCTTGGTGACGGGATTGTATCGTGATATCATCACTGTACAGGCACCACAGCCGCCACCTCCACAGCCATACTTAGTCCCTGTGAAGCGTACTGGAAGAAGCACCGTTAAAGACCATGTTTTCCATGATTTGGCTCTTTTACCATCGCTCTGATTTGAAGAAATAGCATCACCCTGGGGCTCATAAACGCATGGCGTGCCTTAAGTCCAAAACACATTTATCAAATAATGTCTACATTTCTTAGCAACTACTATTTAGAATCTTGTAAATTCCTGATTTCCATTTGTGTTATATCTAACCTCTTTTATTTCCAAAGACAAAAACCAAGTCAAAACAAACAAACAAACAAAAAAACCAGACCTCAGGTTGCCAAAAAAAATAGTGCCAGACTAGGGGGGGAAATGTTATCTGTACCTTTGCACATTTAATCCCCTTTTGGGCATCTGCTTCCTGAGGAACCTGATCTTACACAATGAGGGGAAAAATAAGCTTCTATCTTGTTTACTTCTATCTGGTCATCTTGGGTTTTCTGTTAATGACAAATGAACTATATCTTAAAATGCTACCCATTAGTACCATGATAACCAGAAAGTCATTGTAGTATTTTTTTTTATATTGGAAGACACTAAATTACTTTATGGAAATGTATTCATACATCAGAAAAGTAATTGTTCTTGGTTTTAGAATCATGTACTCTTACAGGAATTTCAATTCTCTCCTCAAGAAAAACATACAAGCTCCCATTGCTACAAACTTTCAGTTATCATTTAATGGAGTCAGCAGACCTCTGAAAGCCTACTGGAGTTTGCGCACAAGAGTACATATCTTAGACTAAATTTATTTTGAACACTTTTTCTAGGGTAGCATCTTCAGGCCCAATTTCTCTATTTTACTTTTTTTCTCATTTTAGGAGATTTCTCTGCTCTCTTTTTGTACCACACATGATTAGCCCTGAATTATTATAACTCTTAATTCAAAGAGAGGCATAATTTAGCCCTTTAATAACTATTGCTTTAATTCCCATTGCTAATGTTTTCATTTGATATAATCTATATTAAGTGTTAAAACAGAGATTTTCAATAATTTAGTTCTGACAGTAGTTGTAGGACTTTATAAAAACCCTACAATTGAAGGACATGTATCTTGGTGTGACATTGAAGGAAACATATTTGATCTATCATCCATGCACAACAGTACATCAGAGACATTCACATCCATCCACTGAACAAAGGAAAGGATACGCTTCTTCCTCAGGTATGGTAACAGCATTGTTTCAGGATCAGCATTCTTTTCTATCACCTTTACCAGAATGAAAGAAAAAAATATATGAGTCATGCAGACAGAGTAGAGAAAGTTGGTGTGACATTCGCATTGCTCGACTTAATGCTAATTTGAGACAAGTGCACATAAATTAAACCCTCCACTCATATTTGCAATTTAACATTTACAGAATTCCTGTGAGATAGAAATCTCTACTGTAAAGTCTGAATCATGAGCATTCCCACCACTTGGCCACTCTCCTTGGCTCTGAACAGTCACCATTCTCCAATACGGTGGGACACTGGTGACGTACGTCCAGCCTTTCCTAGAAATTCTAGAGCAAGTGAAGAAAAAGACATTAGTAAAACAGAAGAGAAGGTGGGAAGAAGATACTTAAATAACCTCTGAAACATACAGTTTAAAAAACCTTTTTTTGTTTATAATATTCATTTAATTACAATTTCTGAGAAAGAGATAATAACCAGCAATGGCCTCAATGTTAAATAACAAAGGAAAAGATAAAATATATGTCCCAAGTGTAAGCAAGGGTACACTTACACAATATTGTGTGGGCGGTCAACAGCACAACAGTGAAACAGTGGCACCCAAGGGGGTGACATGCTATGTCATGACTGGGTGTATTTTCCAATGTGATTATGCTTTCTTGGTTTGGGTTTAAAAGTTGGGATTTCTTTCACAGTCATAGAAGAGAGAAAAGTATGATTTACTTCACAATTTCAGAACCTGAATCCATCCATATTTCATCATGTTATAGTGATCCTCCCTTCAGGGAAATAAGAAAGGAAGAAAACTCATTCTCCTCTCGCAACTCTAAGTGAGCATATGTCAGGCAAAGAAGGGCATATGCCAACTATTAAGGTTTGCTCTGTGCCCAAGAGCAGTCTTTAATTTGGTAAGAGAGATCTGATTGTACTTATGGAGGCAAGTATCCTCTCATACAAGGAAAATATGGAGGTCTCCCCAGGTATTCCTGGCCGAAATGGCCCTCCCACAGAATTCTTTATTTTATTCCCCAAACTTACTCCTTTTTTCTTTTTCCTAACTCGATTAATAGCCTTACCAAGTACTGTATCACCTAAACCTAAAAAATCTGACTTACTTTCAACTATTTCTTTCTTTCTTTCAATTCATCTCAGTGTCACCATGTCCTGCCACTTACTGTTCCAAAAAAATTTCTCTAAACACCCTTCATGTCTACTGTTATGTGGTACCTAGAATGGAATCTTAACATCTCTTGTCTGTACTGTTACCACGTCTCTCAGTAGGTCTCTCTGTCCTCCCTGTCAGCACCTTAGAAACACCTAGTAAAACCTTCTCCATCACCTCCCATGTCACCTCTGAAATCTAAGTCTGATCATCCCAGGTAGCTGCCTAAATATTCAACACTGGATCCCTGAAGTCAGGCTGCCATTCTGAGAATTCCTGATTTGTCTAAAATGAAAATCCAGTGGAATCACGATTTCTGGGGGATGGAGCGGCTTGGAGCTACAGGGTAGGCTCCACCTTTTGGTCAGCAGTAGTGCAATGCCCCAGACATGCCACCAGTGACTTGCATTTGTTTGAACTACGGTTACATTGAATTTTACACCATTTGCTGTGGGAAGTGATGTTATTTAGTACATAAGTTCAGCTTTAATGAAGAGAAAGGATCTGAGCAGCCTCGCCTAGATAGTGGTGGATATCATTTTAGTCTTTTTTCTTTCAATACTGGTGACCTCATGGCAAGACGCTGCACTAAAACCCCAAAGGCACATAGTTCTAATCCACAAGCTGCTCCGTGGGAGAAAAGTGGGCAATCCTCTCCCATGCAATTAACTGCCTCTGAAGACCTGCCAGAGGGTCAGCTGTCCATTCCAACTTGGTTGTACACAACAGTAACAACAACAAGGCTTAATCTTCAGCAAGGTTATAAATCTATTGCTGGTTTATCTTCAGAAGAGACTGTCAAGATAATCTTCACACTCTCAAGTAGTTCTTGTTTCCCAAGTGTGAATATTTAAGTAGCACACTGGATGAGTCTTATGTAAACTGGAAGGAGGTCTGGAACACAAACAGCAACCAGAACCACCTACATAATCTCCAGGTCTGGTTATCTCCTGCCATTACGCCATGTATTCCAAATACCTGTCATGCAGAACTGGCAGGTCCTAGTGGTGCCTGGACTTTCACCCTTCACTAACTTTATACACAAAAAGCCCAGGGTGACAAAATGGTTAAGTCTTCAGTTGTTGACTTGAAAGGGTGGTGGTTCAAACTCACCTAATGAGCCTGCAGGGGAAAGATATGGTGACCTGTTCCGGTAAAGATTACAGCCTAGAAAATCCTATGGAGCAGTTCTATGCTGTTATGTAGGATCAACCACATCTAACCACAGTAACAGTTACATCCAGGGCTCCATGTGACCTGAATGAAGTCTTCTATTTTCCACTTGGCAAAATGTTGTACCTACGGGGAGTGCTCTTCTCTAATGTACTTTCCCCCACTTTCTGCCCAAGTAACTGTGCTCCTCTGTACAGGGGTGTCTCTAGGGTGGAAGTCTCTCAGGATGGGAACTCATGGTGTCACATTCTTCTCCCTTCACTCCCTTCAGTCTCTGGCATAGTGGCCCAGCCTTGCTAACTTCAACCTCCCAAGAAGGCCAGTGCTGAGTCATGAGGGCCCCCACCCCGGGTCACAGCTCCTCCTCTCTCCCGTTTGCCAAGGCAGAAACCCTGCTCTCCATCCAGCTAGGACTGGCATCTGAGCAGAGGAAAAGAAAGGGGGGGAAATGAGATATTATCAACAATTGTTGTTATGTGTCGTCGAGTGGCTTGCAACTCATAGTGACTCTATGTACAATAGCCCTGAAACCTGCTGTGTCTTGTGCCAACCTGCTGTGTCTTGTACTGTCTCTGATACACCCACCCTCATTACCCCAGTCACTGCATCAATCCATTTCATCAATGGTCTTCCTCTCTCTCGTTGTCCCTCCACCTTTGCAAGCATGTTGTCCCTTTCCAAGGACAGGTCCCTCCTTGCAAAATGCCCAAAGTATGACAGATGAAGCCTCTGAATCCTTGCCTCCAAGGAGCAGCCTGGTCTCACCCTCTTAGGATGAACCTGTTTGTTCTCCTAGCAGTCCGTGGTATATACAATACTCTTCTCCAGCACCACAGCTCAAAGGCATCAATTAGCTTTCTATCATTCCTAGTCATTGCCCAGCTTTCTGATGCATAGCAAGCAATTGTGAAACTTAACTGTCCACATTAACATACAATCAATCTCCTTTTCCCCCCTTCATGTCACCTGGAATAGGGCCGTAATGTTTTGTGCTCAGCAGTTATTTTAGACCATAAATAAACCTATTAATGTTGTTGTTGTTATGTGCCGTCAAGTCGTCAAGTCGTTTCCGCAAAGCGACCCTATGCACAACAGCCCTAAACCCTCCTCTATCCTGCGCCAACCGCACCGCCTCTGACACACCCATCCCGATTACCCCAGTCACCGAATCAATCCATCTCATAGAGGGTCTTCCCCTCCTGCGTTGTCCCTCAACCCTCCTAAGCATGATGTCCCTCTAGTCGCAGTTAAAAAAGAGACAGAATTGGGTTCCAGAGGGGACACCATGAAACTTCTAATCTCTGTCCCTAACCCCTAACCTCACTGCCCTTGAGCTGCTTCTCACCTGCTGTGACCCCCTATCAGGTTTCTGAGGCTGTAACTCGTAACAGGAGGAGACCACCCAGCTTTTTTCTCCCAGGAGCTGCTGGCATATTGGAACTGCAAGGCGAAGCTCCGCCCTGTGTTTAGCAGCGCAGTGCTACAGACTGTGCGTGCCTGGGATTGAAGGGAGGGAGAAGAGAAAGTCCGAAAAGCCAAGATGCAGAGGCAAGGGGCCAGAGAAGGACTGTGTGTATCGCGAGAGGGCGACGTTTTGCGGAGCAACTACCACAGCCGCCCAGCACCAGCTGAGGGCCTGAGGAGGAAGGGAGGAGGGCACTTCCGTTCTGAACTTTTGGTACTTGAAAATTATTTCCTTTTTGCTTTTTTCTTCCAATAACTGCTTCCACTCCCAGTTTCCTCCGAATCACTGCGGTCATCCCAGGGGCCCCACTAAAATCTCCTTTTTCATTTCCGCCAACTAAAGGGGCCCAGGAAATGCGAGCCAATCTCACTTCTCCTTCCAGAAGCACTAATGCCAAACAATTTTGCTAAATTCCTTGGCTCATCCTTGAGAACTGATGCACGGCCCCCTTGACATCTCTAAGAAGGTTCTGGCTGGGCCCATGGAGCAGAACCTGGCCCAATTCTGCTGATAAGCATCGCTTGTATTTGCAGGCATACCTCTTTTTTTGTTGTTGTTTTGTTTTGTTTTGCTTTATTGCGCTTTGAAAGTATTGTAACTTTTTTTTTTTTTAGGAAA